ACTTTAAATTTTGAGAATTTAATTAATTATTTCCACATCACTTTTTACGTTGAAAAAAGTCACAAGGGAACTAAACTACTGAGTTATATGATTATTCATTCTTAACAATTCCAAATCTCTACTTAAGGACATACGTTGAATGTGTGTTAATTACATCATTTGATGAAGTCATTCAACCTGACCACTTATATTGTCTCCTGAGCAAAGAACTCTGTATATAAAGAAAAATTAATGGTTCCTCTGAAAAACGACTAAAGAAATGAGAGCGTCTACATGTAAAAACCTGTTTATTTTCAAATGATGATAGTGATAATGTTTTAGATCCCTCATGAATGAGTGTGTTTTGAGGAATAGAAGTCATTTCACCCTTAAGTTGATCCTAATAATGATGACAATCATTGCATAATAATAATGAAATATATTCACTGATAAAGTTAATATGTAGAAATAAAAAATTGATTTCGAATTGTATTTAGGACAAGCATATTTCATGCATATATGAATATTAAATGGCAAGAAAACCCTAAGAGATGAAGCAAATATATAAAACCACTACCCAACCACTACCTTAAATCTCAATATAGTATTCGCGATGTCGAGTCACTTAGACGAGTAGTCACATTGCAACATGATCAGTAGAATTTGATAAGAACTCAAGAAGGACTTGACAAACATGACATTGGTTGCCATTCAGATACCAACTACTTGTAAGTACATAAAAGTTTTAGGGGAATAAAGTCACATATTGGATAGCTCAGTGATAACATCTCTGACTGTGAAGTTGGAACATGAGGGATCGTATCTATCAGAGACCATTAGTTCCCCCAGGAATACTGGTGCACTTTGTTGACGAGTAACAATTAGTTTCGGATCCCAGCTCAGTAGTCTTGAGTCTTAACGCTCGCGCGAGAGACCGAAGGACGTGGGTTCGATTCCCGTGTGAATGTGCACTCCTGATGAGTCCCGTACTCAGTCAGTCAGCCACAAAGTAGGACCAGGCACATGTATGCATCAGTCCAAGTTGCCACACCTCATTAGCACAACAAGATGAACAACGAATTCATAAAAGTAGTCACTTCAATTATTGTAATATATAAAAGAACGATTGTGTATAAGGATATAGTACAGGAAGAATTATTTGGTAGAAAGAAAAATATAAAGCAATTTTAATCTCAGTTTAAAGAAAGACAGACAGTGTAAACACCTACACCATTGTGATCAATTCTGAACCATATCACCAAGAGTCTCCAACCCTTGGTTCCGATAATCACGCGACCCTAATCAGGTAATCTGTATCTACCAATATAGCTCATGTCAGAAGTTAGTGACCTGATGGACTAATGCTACGTTTAGGTTTGGCCGCCTCAAACTTTCTTAAAACGATCCCCAACATTACGCGTCGTGGCAATCAGTGTTCAGGCATACGTAACACGTGTCCGAACCACCTCAGTTGATGGAGATTCACAACCTCATCGACTGATTTGCCATCATTTCCTGTTACCTTGCATCTAACCTTACTATTACTTTCACGGTGATCCCAGCAAATGCGAGTATTTCTGAGACATCTATGGTCAAATATTAGTAGCGTACGGATATCTTCTACTCTTAAAGGCCACGTCCCGCAGTCGTAAAGTAGAAGAGAACGAACGGCCGCGTAGTATACTTGTCCCTTAATTGATAGACGGATATCTCGCCTTCGCTATAAGTGACGTAAGTTGGCAAAAGCCAAACGAGCTTTCTAAATCCGTACAAAGGCTTCATCAGATACCAACCCATTAGGATGAGTCCCATACTGGAACGAAATGGGCATTCAGTGCTTCCAAGTTTTCGATGATGGTCTAACATTGATCGGTTCATGATTTCAAGGAAATTCAACAATCTCCACATTATACTTACAATTAACATTAAACGTAACACCACGGTATCTTATTGACTGACTGTAATTGTGTAACAATCAATCGAGTTATACTTCATCAAAAAGCATCGAATAATTTAACTCAATTAAAAAATGTCAACTACTGACTTTACCCCTAAAAGATTAACAGAACTTTCTACCACTACACATCAGATTGTTAATTGGATCAATTTTTTGTATTACTTAAATGTTCGGAATTAGAGAGAAATAAGCAATTAGTCCGCTTGATAAATTGTAACAGTATAATTTTCGACTTCTTATTATACTGTAGTGAATGAGAACACAGGTAAGGACAACAGAATTGTACTTAGCACAAAATTACAGAGTTACTTGGTAAAATAGAAAAAACCATATAGTAAATCGTTAATTTGCAAAATATCAATGCATCATATCAACTCGAACTGTTCCTATTGCAAACATCAACCCATTGTCTCACATTTCATTGTTCATGCGTTTCCTTACAAAGTGCATTATGTTATCGCTCTTCCTTTCTTGATCTTCCCCCGTCTGCTGCCAGACATTGCGTTTTTAACTCGCGTGATATACTACTTACATTGATATAAATAGCACGCACCACAATACTATCCAAATAATGTCATGTTCAAGGTCGAATCGACCCAGACAGGGTTAAAGTAACTGAACAATCTAATGTTTCATAAAAATGCATGTCCACTTTATCAGACTTAAATAAAAAATAAACGCTCGAAATATATTTTATGATAAAATGGAGAATATTCTGACTTATTAAAACCTAGGACAGCAAAAAGTAGACACAATATAGTTATGTAATTATTATCATTTAAAAATCAATGATAATTTGGTACCAACAATGAGCTGTTTCATTTCAATTTCAAAATACATTAGTAAAGTAAACCTTCCTTTTTTCCATTGGAATTTGTTGTAAACACACTAAAACTGACTGATCCGTAACTGTATAGTCCTTGATCAAGAATGATCTCAGTAGTGCAGTGAGAGTTAATGGTTACCCAATTACCTCATTGGTATCATTTATGACTGTAATACTGAACGATACTGGCTTAAATCTAACATGAAGTATCAATCCTCTGAAAGACTACAGATATCTCCTGTTGACGAAAGCAACTAGAATTAAGCTTAAATTCAGAGCTTCCTCACGATTACCGTCGATCACTGACATGAAAATATTATAACTGTGGCAGTGGACAGAGATATAAAAGCTGAGGAATTTTCAATATAATAATAATCAGTGAATAAGCAGCTAATTTAATATTTGCCTAGTCTATAGACTAGCCTTAAGTATACTTAGTGATGATTGAATTCTATCAATCAAGTTGTAACAGATCAGTCGTAACCTCAATAGCTCAGTGATAATATTCCAGATTGAAGGGATGTACGATTTGGGTTTGAATAAGATAGATAACATTATTTCACTCAATATTGAACACACACGACCGCTAACTAACAAGAAACCTAGTTTTACGGATTTCTCCTGACTACCAATAACCGCATGACATTTATCCTTCTAAAATCCGGTTATCGTATTTACGACTCTCTAGTCAATATATTCAACACTATTAACTTATGTCAGTAACAAAAGAGCAACTTGATATATTGCGTTTTTAGCTTAACTTTTTTAAAGATTAGTTAGTTAGTTAGTTAAATTAAGGAAAATCCACTACAGTTCAACAATTGAAAAACCAAGTCTTCAAATCATTGAACAATCAGTGTGAAATTTCATTGCTACTCAATAATCAAGTACCATTGTTAAAGTCATCAAATAAGTATAATCCAACAAACAATTTCGTTTACATTTTACACATTAAGTTAAAATGCTATATTACACTTATCTAAACAGTTACCATCAAATTTACATACAGTCAGAATATAGAAGCATTTCACAGTTCAAACACAGTTGTAATTGCAGTGTTTGAAGTTAGTTGTATTTTTGCTATCGTATTATTCCTCCGCCAAAATATCACCTAAATTAAAAGATATCTGATGGTTACTGGGATCTAACAACTTTGTAGCTTACATTACAAACTGACTGTAGCTAGACAACCACAAAATATAGTACATCTGTTTCACTCTAGTATGGAATTCCTCAGCTATGAGCATCACCAACCCGACTGAGGACTAGGTCCAAGACCTTTAGCTCTCGTGAGGAGCACTGAACCATAGGACCACTGAGTATACAACTAGTGGATTACACGCTTGACTTCAATTCATTACCGAAATATCATGCAACCAGAATAAGATCATGTTATTGGTGGGCAACTGACTCAATCCGATGAGGCCAGATCCTAATTCGATTACCGGTGAGCCTGTAAATATGCACTGCTGAAGAGTCACGCTGTGGTTACGTTTTCTGGTTTCCAATAATTGTCTCAGGTTAGTTCGTGATGTAAACCATAAAACCTAACTAATGATTTGTAATGAATAAAAGAGTTCGAAAAACGTTGTATATCTCATTTAGCAAATACTACTTTAGGTATTCCGCTACAGATTACACCTTTTGCATAAGATTTAGTGGCATCATCCAGTTACTGAACTCAAAATTAAGTACAGTAGGAATCGAACCTACAACTTAGTAGGTGAATTTGCTATCGCTTCAAATCAAAGATTTTTAACAGTATGTACTGCTAATTTATAACAAGAAATTTTAACACAAAATAAACGAATTACATAAGGAAAGATTAGGATAAAAAAACTTGTTAACCTTTCTCTAAGAAATCAAAAAACCTACTCAATGACTAATCAACTCGCAAATATCTTAGTCTTATGGGAGTTTAATCTTGGCTCGAACAGCTCAATCGTAACGTCCCATCCTATGAAACTAGGTGAGGTGAATTCAAATCCACAAGAGACTATAAATTCCTTTTCAGACTATGGATATGCCTTGGTAAACAGTACAATATAGCAAGGAAATTAAATTGAACAGAGTTTCCTATCGACTAACCCTAGCAAATTTACACATCAAAAGAATACTTTGATCTACAAGATATTAATCAATTATCCATTATCAAAGTTGTTTAATTAATCAGGTGAATAGAAAATTCAGTGAAACACAAACATTATAAACACTGATATAATACAAAACGAAGAAACATGGCAACATATAATTTATTCGGAATAATGATAATAACAAATAAATATAATAAAAAGGTGAAACTCAATCAAATTTTATAAAAATATAATCTTAAAGAAAGAGAGACAGAGAGTGTGAGAGAGAGGGGGGAGAAAGTAGGGAAAATGTTTGATAATCGAAACAATAAAGGTAATAATTAACATGATAATAACTAGTTACATAATCAGATATGATAATGTAATTAATGTATATAATAGATACATTAATTAATCACGACATATGTACAAACAAAAACAACCGCTTTTATTAAATAATAAACAAAGATAGATGTGGCCTAGTGATTTTCTCAAAGGATTATAAGAGGAAATATAACAGAGATTCGTTCACTTTTTATCATCAATATTTAGTACATATATCTCTAATCAAGGTGTGTGTGTGTCCATCGAATGTATACGGACAAGGCATAAGGAAATTTAATTATACAAAGACGAAGTAAATAGAAAATCACAGTTATAACTTAATAATAAAACGCCCGTGTTAATTGGAACAAAGAGTATACACTTTTGGTATGTGAAAACAAGAGGAGGAATAATAATAAAATAATTGAAAAAGGGATTGAAAGAAGGAAACACAATATCAATATGGAATTCAACCGAAGTAAACACATCATAATGGTTTATTATCTATTAGTAAAGCAATACAAATTATTTATCACAAAATTGTATAGAAAATAATAATGATTTATTGCTAGAAAGAATGCATTGCGTAACCTTATTATTTCCTTACTGTTCCCCTATCCTCTGTGGAAAAAAAATAGAAGTAGATATGAATGAATACATTTGGTGGCAGGGTATCAATGCATCATTTCATTTTTATGAATTGAAAATGAATGATTGTATGTGTGTATAATTCATTCATTTTTGTTTTAATATCTTGGATAACCTAAAATTCGTTCAGCAACACCAAGGTAATATACAGTTTGTGCTATACCAAACAATGGTGCCATAACCATAACACGACAACCAGCCCCTTTGAATAGACCATGAACACCTTCATTACGTAATGTTTGTCTAGAAAATTTACAAAATAAATCATAAAAAATGCATTTAACAGTGGTTATATATATAATGGATATAATGATAAAAATAATGTTATTGATTCGTCAAATTGTATACTTATGATGTCTTTGAAGCACAGTTTGATGTGTGTATGTGAAAGCCAGTAAAACATTAACCAGTTGCATAAACAAATCCATGTGAGGCAGAATTCAAACTATATATCCAGAAGCTAGAAAGTCAAGTGGCATAATCACTCCATTGGTCGGCGATGTCAGCTGGTGCAGTAGATTGGAAAAAGGCTAGGGACGCCACACCAAAACGTGGCATCGGGCTATGGAGTTATATCGGTAGATTTAGAGAAATGATTGAAGTCTATGAAGTTATCTTGATCAATGGACAAAGATGTTGAGTGACTAGAATCCGTCGTAATGGAGAAGATACAGTCACTCTTTATCTCTCTCTAGATCATGACGCTTTATATTATCTAATATCTTTTCATTCCGCGAAATTACTCTTTCTTCTACAAACATATTAGCCATGTTAAATGCCTTCTACTACCAGCTGAAACAATTGTAAATTCTGCTAATTCCGAATTAATTCAGATAATTTCATCTCGTTGTAGTGATGTAGTGCAGCAACTTAAACTGATCCACATATGTTATGTCCTATGGCCCCTCGGATATCACATGACAAAATCGCCAATCAGAATATCGACATCTATGACCTTATCCCTGTGCTGAATCAATGACACATCAAACAGCACCAGCAGCTCTGAATCATCTTTGAATCCTTATTGTTCCTCTGTACAGTAGCTTCTGTTAGATATATTTGAAAAATGGAGAATCTGGTATAAATCTGCACATTATTATTCAAGTAACCAAAATTTTACAGCACTATTATGAGACACCTAATTCACAAGATGGAATCCAAAAATTGAAAATAATAATAACATGAATAGTGGTGTTGGGATAAAAACGAATCAATTGAAATATGATTCCTAAAGGAGAAACCGTGTAAAATGGTATTGATCTGAACCGGTTTTAAAAAAAAAGATAACTAGTTATGGTTGCATCTACTCTATGATAATTAATTTTGAGTCACGTTGTCGAAGGTGTTCAACCATTAAAAATATATACATATAATTATTTTAAAAATCCTAATCAAAAAATAAACCATTCCGAAAAATGTTTAGCATAACAACAGTCAGTAATTTTATGAACTGACTCCACATATATCTTCATCTCATAATGTTGATTTGAAACGTTGAATAAGACGGTTCAGTATCGATTGAAATACTACTGTATATGCATTCATCTGTTTGTCTTACATTAGATTCTCAGTTTCATAATTATGTTATACACGTTTTTTTATTCCACAAATCATATTGTCTATGTGTAACCTTTTGTAAAAACACTGACAGTATTCTTTTTTTTTCTACAACTCTAGTATTTATGCCGATAATTTCAACCTAATATAATGATATATTATAAGAACTGGAACGAATTCACAAAATTGTATCAGGTTCTATGAACCTAAATAGTAAATATAACAAATCAAGTCGATAATAAAATTTGAAAAGAACATACAAACTTCGATAACTATAATATGATAGGTTTATTTGTTTATTTATTTGAACACATAAAATTTGGTACAAGGAGGCACCAAATACATATGCGCCACACAAATCTAATGGGATTTGTGTGAGGGCTGTGATACTGCTCGGGTGTCCAAACCGAACCAGGTGGTTTTCTTGAGGGCCACACCCGGAGACTTCGACCTAAATGTCTAACCCACAAGGCAGTGGAGCAACGTGAGGAGATGCGTTCCCATGGTAGCCGGTGACCAACGCCATTTGTTCCCTCAGGATGCTGGAGCCCATGTGCACCATTGGTTTAGAATCAGGGTTTTCCAACTCCCCTAGGTGGACTCTCCATGTCCACCAACCCGGTTAAAGCGCCTGAAATTCGCTTTTCGTCCTCTCAATTTCGTAAACATACCCCCGCCACGAGAAGGCAGTGAGTAGGACTTCCCTGGCAGAGATTATATACGCGTGGCCATGTGGGAGCATTTCGCGAGGGAGAGCGGACTCTGCCCACGCTCGGCCGTACCAGGGCATTTGGGGGCAAAGTAATCGAAAAACTTTTGGATATAAGGGTAATAAGAACATTAATATATTAAATTTCAAGATATTTTTCTCAATTTTTCTTCACGAACTCGGATCTATTGACATTCAGGTGAACCTAATATCCACGAAAATATTAATTATTAGAAATCTTGTGAACAACAAATATACGTACGAAAAAATGATTGTTTTTAATTGGTAATTTTCTTAGCGATGTTGAATACTTTAATACTACTGATCTACCGTTCCAGTGGTTAGGTCGTTCAACTTTTTGCCATTAACTTAAATATTCAAATCTCGCTCTACCTACTTAGGCTTGGACAACTGGGTAGCATTAACAACCCGTAGAATTTGAATGTGGCTTGAAGCCATTTATACAAATCTGTATTTGGTAAATCACTTGAATAAATTGAATATGTTATATTCAAACGAAGAATAAATGAGTGTTAACTGCTTGGAATCATTCGCTTTTCGTCCTCTCCAATTCGCAAACAACACCCCCACCGCGAGAAGGTAGTGAGTAGAACTTCCTCGGAAGTGGTTGTATGCACGTGGCGATGTAAGAGCATTTCGAGAGAGAGCTGACTCTCCCCACCCTCGGTCGTACCAGGAGATTTAGGGGCATACTAGGATGAGACTGTTATCTAGCACCTACTAGTTTTCAATAGCCATCTAACTAAGATCAGTTCGTGATGTAAACTATGAGAGTAATTATTTTCTTCTACCAAGAGGTCTAAAAATGTTCAAACTATTTAATGAATAATTCGAATAATAAGAACTTACACAAAACAATCTGTTATTCCTTTGAATACTTTCTCTCCTTCAATATGTTTAATTGTTTGTAGTCGAGTCTTAACAACTAGAAGAAAAATCGTAAAATAATAATAATGACATTTTATTTGTCGAAGTATATTAATTTCAATTTGGTATAATTTAGCTATGATAAAGAATGGGACCTCACAAACTATTAAACAGACATCATTCACTCTGATTGATCTGGTTGAAAATTTCATCGGCCAGATAAATTTGAGCCTTTTAAAAGATTCAACTAAACATTCAATAAATATTTGAAATATTTATAAATCAATGTATGTGTAATAATTCACAAGTGATTGAAACTTACCGTCGAATGGGGTCACACTGAATGCAGCTATTGTTCCTGATAAAAATCCTGATAGAAATGACCAATAGAAAACAGCCTCTACACTATTTGGAGATCTTCTTGGACCCTGATAAAAGAAATTAAATTGGATCAAAATAAAGCTTGGAACAACACTATAATTGACAATGCGGAAATGGTAAATCGCGAGTTCAATTCACTGAAATAATGATAAAGTAAATTTTATTAATTCAACAACAAGTAATTTAAGAAAGCATTAGCTTGGAATCCTCAAGATAGTAGGAAAAGAGATCGATTGTGTATGAGAGTGAGTGGCACGATATAAGTATGTACATGTAATTCATTGACCAGATATGGCTTTTTATCTATTTCACTACAAACAATAAGTGAGAGCTAATGATCATATCTGATAAGTTAAACCAAAAAACATACAGTGGGATTCAAACCCACGACCTACTCATTGCTATGTGCTTACATCGAAATCATGTTGAAACACGCCGACTGATTCATTTCCAATCAATCAGGAACAACAGACGTATTGAAAAGATCCTAAATCCTTACGTAAATCTTATATAAACTTTATTGAAATATGAATTGTTCTCTCTCGATTCTGGTTTTGATTTGGGACGATTAGATTGTTGTGATCAGGAAATATTTAAAACTGATTGGACCACCACTGAGTAGTGACCAAGGAAATATTTCTCTATTCCTTAGTGTTGATCAAACTCTAACGAGAAAGTTACAATGTGACCACTAGTCTAAGTGACTCAACATAGTATGTACTATGTTGAGATGCTAGGTAGTTGAAGATAGTTAGCCCAAAACCGTATAGCCCAGCAGCTCCATAAAGTTTCATCAGAAGCTGAATTATGCAGCTGTGTCATTTGCCAACTAAAGATTAACTCACACGGCAGTGAGCTACAGTTTTTAAGTGACGGATAATGATACTAACTGGTTATCTGAAATGACGTAGGTGGAGAAAAGTTTCAATAGGAGACCAAATGATTAAAAGTGATTGTGGTAAGCATGGATATTTATTTGAGGAGGTTGATGGTCTCCGATTTAAAATCAGATCGTATAGATGAGTTATTAGACTCTAAGATATAAAAGGCAATTCAAACAAACTTCCACTATATTTTATGGATTAGAATATTTGATCAAAGTTTTAATAAATTGGCTTGTGTTCTTATTTGTTTATCTAATGCGCACAAAACCCTAAACAATTGGGCATCAAAAATTTATGCACCACATTGTGGTGGTGCATTGTGGTAAAATAATTATAAGAGAGTAGTACAATTACAACAAGAGTAAACAAGAGCAATATATAATATGAAAACTTTTTCCAGTTGAGTGAGCTCGACGTACTTTTATGGAAAATGTACGAAACTACAGGCGCATAGCTACTGGTTTTTGTTCTAAGTAATGTCTGAGTTGCACAGGGGAGTCATGATGGATAGATAGATGCCAGTCCTATACGACATTTTTATACCAAGGTGTCAAGTTATTTTTGACCCCACCCCGTCACAGCGTTGTCAGTCAGTCAGTCAGTCAGTCAGCTACAACGTAGGATTAGGCACATATATGCGTCGGTCTAAGCTGCCATACTTGTCACAGCGTTGACAATCAATACACGCTGTGGAAGTCATTAAGATGACATTCGGAAGATATTTTCAAGCCATCGGGATCGATGTTCTAAGACAATAACACCAATTAAATTATTGTGCTCCAACATAGCCAAATTACAGCATTGCTAACAGTGTTATCACTGGATGTGAGCGGTGATTTGGAGATAATGTTGATCAAATACAGAACATCCTCAGCTCAGAGCGGTCAGGTTTTAGGAGCACGGAACAGAATAGCTTTTTACAGAGAAACTAATATTACAGGGTGCCAAGGATGGACCAGATTAGTATGAGCCCATCAGGATTTCACTATGTGTTTGGGAGACGAACGTTCATTTTAGTATGAACTTTTAATTAGTTTGTTCCACAAAATACAGTAAACCGAAAAAGTCAAACCAACAAAATAATTCGAGAAAATTTACCATTATATACTTACTAAAGCGTTAAAATTTGCAAATAATGGAAAATATATCATAGAAAATGAAACATCACGTAAAAATGTAGCACCCATTCCACGATATAAACCAAATATTCCTTTTTCACGAACCAATTTAATAGCCAATTGAGTAGCAGTCTGTCGTGTCGCTACTACTGTACCACTGCTGTTAGTTACAGGAACTAAAGATTAAAAAAGTGTAAACATTGACAATATTTTATCACAGAAAAAAAAAACTCATGAAACCATGGAATACACATTATTGTGGTTAACTTTAAAATAAACCTGAATCACTATAGAATAACAATAACCTTAGCCAGACAACCATTGAGAAATAAAAAGTGCCGGATAAATTTTTTGACTGAGTATGGGAGTCCTCAGCAGTGAACCTCCATGACCCCATCTCGAACCGAACTCAAAAGCTCCAGGTATTGCAGTGAGTGCCTGACCTTTAGACGACTGAGCCAGAATCCAGTGGTTTAAATTACAGACAGATAGATATTATCGACTTAGAGCCTCGCACAGATGTTCGTTGACCCTAATTCACATGCCACACTATTACAAGGAGATAAAAGTGACAAAAAAGATCAAACCAATGTTGCAGCAATTATAAAAAGAAAGACTAGACCTTAAAAATATGGTTTGCAAATACACTGCTCAAAGGTATGCATTAAGAGACACTGGAATTCAAGGTCAAGAGGAAGATGAAGAATGAATACATCTGCACCAGTGTGAATGATTCTGAGCTATATCACTCAAAGACTCTAACCCTTGTTTACAATATATGTACGAACTCCAACCAGGTAGTTTACATCTAGTAACATGGCTCAGACTAATAGTCAATGACCTCATAAACTGATGTCGTATTTTGGTTTGGCCGCCCTTAGCTTTCTTCCAACCAACTTCTGTAATAGCAAGAGTTGCTCATCGAGGTAGGTGGTGTTTAGTCATACGTAACATATGTCTTAACCACCTCAGTCGATGAAGCTCCACTACCTCATCAACCGATTTCGGACCCTTTCAAAGTACTTTATACCTTAACATTACTCACTAAATCGTTCCATCATAAACGAGCGATGCTTCGAAGATACTTATAATCAAAAATCTTTAGACCACGCATGTCTTCTACTTTCAGAGACCATGTTGCACAGCCACAAAGTAATACAGAAAGGTTGGGCAATGGTCAACATACTTAACTTCAGTAAAATTAAGATAACAACTTAATACATAACACCTCGAAATAACTTAATGCATTCAGGATGTAAGCCACTCATATAATCCTATTTAATGATTTGAAGAAAACTATATGCAAATGACATAAAATACGAATACCTCAACTCACTTATCAGGCACAGATTCGTGTGTATAGAGCTTCGAGTCACACTCTAAGTGTGAGCTACTGATACTATCCCGCTGATCAAACCAAGGTATGAGCAGGGGAGTTAGAACCTATAACCTAGTGCCTGAAAGTCAAGAGCCTTAATCAATGACCCAGCGCTCCACTATCGGACCTGAATGTAGAGATAATCAGCAGAGTAGCGTCACACTGGTTTTACGACTTTATCCAGTTAAAATGAAAATTAAAGACATTGCGTCACCTTTGCCATTATATAATCTTATCTCCACGAGGACTTTCATCACAAAACCCAATCATATTAAAGTAGTAAGCAACGATATATGGGACAATTAACACAGATTAATCGATAAACCTTAAACAATAGGGATGATACTGAAGCCTGAAAACGTATTAAATGAATACATTATACTGCTCGATAGTGACTGCCATAATTTCTTATCCAGGAAACAGTTAAGTGAGCCAGTTTGCTACTAAGCTTTGCGGTGACAACCATTGTCAGATTCTCAAAGAAAAATACTTACCTTCACTTATTCCCTCATCTTTAGTCTGAATATTTGTTACATGATATAATCTGTAGTGATATAAGTAGCAAAATAATATTGTAAACTAAAATGTTCGAGGTTCTTGTGAACTCGTTTGATTAGTATGTGGTAAGTGCTTAGCTTTATGTGTTGTAAAGACAGGTAAATGTTCAGAATGTACAAACAAACAATTAGGATATCAAGTTGAAGAACTTTACTCTTCGTTTATAGCTAGTTAGTATTCGACGAACTGTCAAGTATAGAGTATCAGTCTTCCTCATCCTTACTGTGATTTGGTTGCTTAAGGTAGTCTACTTGTATTGGTCAGTTGTAGGACAAAACACTAACAACATCAAGTGTTACAATGAATAAAACAAATACATCAATATCTAAAGAAATATATACATCATCTATTAAGATATTAAGAAATATAAAAAAATAGTGACAGAATCTTTTATTAAGCCACCAGAAAACCGCTCTCTCAACAATTAAACATCACCAAATTGGCAGGTAAGAAAAAACCTTGTATTATTTGCAGTGATAGGAAAGATTAAAAAATTGACTAACAAAATTCATTAGATATTTTTAGATTTTTTTATTTACTTGATGTTCGACCAGCATCTTGTAATTGAATTTTCAATAATTCCATTGGTGTAGTGATAATAATTTGACAAGTTCCTGCACCAGCTCCAGCAAACATTTCACGAATTGGAGTTAAAGGTTTGCTAGAAATAAACAAACAAAAACACTATTTAAACAGTATCCAGTCCTCTATTTGATTAAGGCAGAATACGGTATACAACTAACGGCACTCGAACGTATAGAACCCCACAGTCGCGAAATCAGAAGAAAGTAAAAATGAATGTTGGGTAAGAATCAAAAGTGTACAGAAAAACATGTGTATTTATAGTTATCGGCGTTGGCTATAACATCATTATAATTCCGTCAATCGGCAAGGAGGTACGTTATGCTACCATCCATTAGCAGCATGCCACGTTAATATTCTGAAAAGCTCCATCAGGTTCTGATGGGTGGGAACTCTTCGGCTCCTTTAGGACCTCTGAAGGCTCCACCGTGCTCCTCGAAAGCCGCCCCAACACAAAGAAACATGAACGTAGGACACAAGCGTAAAACTAACTTTTTTTAACAAAACATATACCAAGGAGATTTTTAATGTTAATTATGTATACAGAAAGTTTAGTAAGTGAAAGAAATCTAATTTATTTATATGTATGTAGGACTTTATTTGACCCATTAATTTATTCCTAATCTAATAGTTACAGCATCCCACACTCATAACCACTTTTGGCCTTTTGACCTTTTATAACTGTTATTTCTCATTTAATGGTATAATACGGTCTGGTCTGTTTGTATATAAACTACGTATATCTGATATAGTGGAGGCTGATATTTGTGGTCTGGATTGAACGGACTAGGATAGACGACAAATTACCATACAGAGGACCAATAAAATCTCAGAGTTGACTCAAGGCTGCTAGCGCTGTTTGAAGCGTTATTGGTTCAGCATAGGGACAAGGTCATAAATGTCAATACTCCGATTAGCGATTTTGTTACGTTATATTTGACGAGCCATAGGACATAACAATAACAATAAGAATAAGTGGCTAAATACAAAACTTTACCAACAATCGAACCATAGCTCCAATTTTCAAAGTAACTATTCAATACAAACCCGAAAAGAGCAATAATTCATTTACGTTACGAGACCAACAAATATTAATTTAAAATGATTGTATTAAATCATCAGTTGAAATAGCCCCCAAATGCCCTGGTACAGCCTGGAGTGTGGAGAGTCCACTCTCCCTCACCAAATGCTCTCACATGGCCACGCGTATATAACCTCTGCCAGGGAAGTCCTACTCACTGCCTTCTCGTGGCACCGGTGTTGTTCACGAAAATGAGAGGACGAAAAGCGAATGTCCGGCGCTTTAACCGGATTCCAAACCAATGGTACACATGGGCTCCAGGATCCTGAGGGAACAAATGGCGTATGAACCAATTGTTGGCCACCGGCTTCCACGGGACTGCATCTCCTTACGATGCTCCACTACCTTATGGGTTAGACATTTAGGTCAAAGGCTCGGGGTGTGGCCCCCTAAGAAAACCACCTGCTTCGGTTTGGGCACCCGGGCAGTATCACAGCCCTTACACATATCGAATGAGATTTGTGGGGCGCATGTGTATTTGGTGCCCCCTTGTATCAAATTCTATGTGTTAAAATAAAATGAATAAATCAGTTGAAATAAATCTTTTCTGAATATGCACTGAACTTAGTTCAAGTTATTGAACTCTAGGCATAACATCAATAAAATATTCAGAATGCAATACCCATACTATAAATATCAACTAATTTTTTGTAACTCATTTACCAGATAAAAATGTATGTACTTGGAGCTTTGAACCACAACTTTCGTGTGAGGGCGAGTGATACTACCCACAGCTGTCTAGATGAAACTAGGTGAAAAGAGTGGGATCTGTAACTTAATACAAATTCATTTGAAAGGGTTCGAATATTCACGTTGTTGATTAGTTAGTCTCTTTTGACATATGTGTCCTGAGAAAACTGCATCGATACTGCCACAAGTATTTTTAAGCAATGTTTAATAATGGCTAAATGGGATCCGGGAAACGAGTTTCGTACTGTTTTGGACTCATCAGGTGGGTGTACTTACTACGAGATTCCAGTATTGATGTCCACATAGGTACAAGAACCCGACACCCTTCGCTTTACATACCTGATAAGTTGCACGCTTAGCTTCTCAACCCAGACAGCAAGTGGATAACGAGCAGGAAGGTTAAAGCGAGAAACACTGGGTTTAAATACCTATGTGAACATCAACAGCAAGATTCTGTAGCAAGTACATCCAACAGACAAGTCTTAAACAGGACGAAACAAGCTTCTTAGATTCCACTACAAAGCGCTAATATACATTGCTTGAAAACGTTGTAAATTAATAGTTGCAAGCCAAACGCTCTAATTGCTAAGTGTTGTTCTAATTTTCACAATGGGAATCTTTAATATTCAAATAAAGACAATTTAATAATCAATTAAGTTAACAGATTTTCGAAAACAAAAAAAATATAGTAGAAATAATATAAAAAACTTACCCCTCAGGTTTTAAATGATAACGAAAAAAATCATTGCCGACTAATTTAATCGCTTTTTCTGGTGTAATTAAAAGGAGATTGACACCACTTCCTAAAACATCGGAGAGGAAAAAACGCTAACATAAGAGTTCCCAAGTTTTGAAATAGCAAAGATTAATGGTGAAAAGTGTATTAAATTCAAAGTTAATTATATTATTATTTACATTTAGCTTTTTTTCTGGACACTGTTAGATTTAAGTTAATTGATTCATAAAGTTGAAAAATCACAAATTTACTGTATAAATGAAGAGATAATTTGTTGGTTGGAAGTATTCACTTTTCAACGACTGGGTTGTTGGCTTGGACCTCTATTCATCTAGTTTAGTTTGGGCAGATAGTCAGTATAACTAACCGTAATCATATAAACAGTGTGGTTTAAAGTTGAATACATAAATCTTTACTTTGTAAGTGAGCTACATTACTACAGGTGTAATACCACATGTTATTTATCATTAAAACACTTAGTTATTGTTAAATAAAAATTATCTCGATAAAACTGTTACTCAAATGGATAGTAAGATGATCTCGGGTACTGGTTAGAGGTATGATGGCGATTTTCCCTTACCGACTCCTCACGCCGTGAAAGGATACTTTTTTATGGAGATGTCTGAAGAGAAAACTCGATTAAGAGTGGCCCTGAGAACCCGACAATATGAACAGAGGGCCAAAAGTACAATTGCTTGAGTCCAGTTACAATCGGCTTTCTATGACCGGCTTAAGATATGCCAGCTCCTTATCTAAGACTTTTCCACCGACAATGGAAATACATGAGTAAGGTGAAGTGTGGTACTTTTAGGACTGATCTTTGCCAAACTCTTCCTGCCTGCTTTGTAAGGGTCAGCATGGCTGGAAATGCTAGTTTTTGGAAGACGACATTGTCGCTACCACACCCCAACACAGTCAGTAATACGAGTTCTCTCTTGGGCCATGAATTCGCTGACCTCTAACTGACGTCCTTGCTATCATTGCACACAGCTCAATCAAGTCAAAACGATATGCGAACCCAACCATAACGCCAAGGTAGAGACAACGGTCGGGCACCTAAGCTAGTGCATCTTGAGTTTCCATTCTCTTAACTCTTCTCTACACATGGGAACACTTTGGACATGCTTACAATGACAATAGTAATAATAATAATGAAGAAAATATGATGTAACTGATGTGTGTCCGAGGAAAATAATAGTTGCTTGTTTGCTTAATCAGACTTGTAGATAGTCTTCGGGTGCTAAATGAGTTATAAATTTTCCTACCCTTATTATTAGTTTTTGTTATTGGTTTCTTCGGAGTGGAAATATACTTTCGTTCTAGTCAGGTTAGTCATGTGTTCCTGATCTGAGTTGTGTTGAAGTCTTTTAGAAAAGTCACTGGAATGGTATCTAATGTAGATATTCGTCTAACGTAGACGGGGAAACCAAGCGTTATAACAGCAACAATAATTGTTTTCTACAGATTTGCTGAACAAGCCTTGTGAAAACTTATATTTATTGAGTAATACTTAATTTTTGTTATATCCGAAAGAAGAATAAATGAGTGGTAACAGCCAGGAATTATATATATATATATATATATATATATATATATATATATATATATATATATATATATATATATATATATTCGTGTTCCGTTTATTATAAGCCCTCATTTGACCTATAGATTTATTATCCCTAACTTATTCCCGACTCATCAGTTAGAGTCCCCCACACTCACAACCACTTTTGGCTTGACCTTTTATAACTGTTATTTTTCATTTTATGGGACAAGGTCATAGATGTCGATATTCCGATTTGCGATTTTGTTACGTGCTGTTAGTGAGCAGTCATAAGTCATGGCATTTTTATATTTATAACAAGTGTAACTTAACAACTATTTGAGAATTCACGTTTGAAACCGTAGGCTATGTTAATTACATGACGATGATAACAGCAACTGATTGTACGAATCAAAATAATAGGGTATCTTAAAATATGGCTGAATGAACAATAAATATCCAGACCTGAGTTACTAGTGAATTTAGCTGAACCTTCTTTATGTTAAACTAATGACTCAAACTAAAACAAAGAATGCTAAGCCGTAGCAAGTATTGAAAGTGTTATTTATACATGGAGAATAAATGTTCAGAAAGCTTTAAACGGTACCACTGTATGTAAACCAAATATACCACAACCATTCTATTGAAATTAAACTAGACCAATAGTCGGATTTGTACTAGTAATTTGATGGGTAGTATTTGAGTCCTAATATCATTGAACTGTGATATAAGAGTAAACAAGACAATTAAAAGATTAATTCGTTAACTATCAAAAAGATAAAATTGGCACTATCAGCAAGATAATAATTCAGTAATGTAATACATCGATTAACTAAGCAGTGTACATTCAGATTTTATAATTTAATAGAATTACTCTAACTGCTGAAAGCTTATCTTGCTATAGATTACTTGAATCGCATAAACAATGTATATCACTCAAGTTCAACAATTACAACAGCTATTGACAATAAAAGTATAAATACTTTGATAAAATAAAAAACCATTAATCGTATAGTACTAACCTCTGTACATGCCAAAAAATCCTTCAGCACGATATGTTTTTGCAGCACAGTCCAAACTTTTTAAGGACATGGAAAGACAAAATAACAAAGATTTATCGACAACAATCTATTTTATTTCTTAGTAAGATTTTTCTTGAGTCGGAATCATTTACATTTAGAGTTTTCAGTCAGTTAGTCATTATCAACGTAGAAACTAGTTAAAAAATATTCGCAGGTTTAGCTTACTGTACTATAGTAAAACTACTACGTACGTGTTTTTCCAACATGTTCATCCAGATAGATTAACGGTCGGAAGACTTTGAATTAGTAGATAGGAGACCGATAGATAGCCGAAATGTAATTATACAGTGTAGCCGAGAGATCTAACCGACTACCTATTCAGAAAATAAATATCGGCCTATGACAGTGGATGACTCGCAATGGTTAAAGAACAACCAGGACTCACTAGGCAACTCGATTGACCAGACATGGGACTAGGAAAACATGATGCAACTGAAATCAGCTTTTTTTAGATATTTAGTCGATTCAATAGTTTCTCAGGACCAAATATACGGAAAAGTACTAAAGACATGAGTGTTGGCGATAAACTTAGGGATGTGAAAGCTTGCCCAACTTGTTTAAACTCTCAAGTTTAGACACCAATCTAGGGAAAGGCTCGCTCTGAATGGTTTTGTGGTTTATTTATTTGAGTTCTTGAACTTTTTGCATCTTACTATAATTCGTGGAAGGCAGAATTATATACTACGTTTTGTGCACTACCTGTTTTTCAAACATTTAAGAATATTTCACTCAAAGGGGAAATAAATGACCGGGTAACAGACCAGTTTTAGATGTGACTCACACATTTTTGTATAACTTTTTGCCATCTTGTTGATTTTGCATCCTCGTCTTAACCAGATCAATTGGAAAAACGCAGGTTACACCGACGATCCCAGCGATACCGCCGTTAACAACTTTTGGAACAAACCTAGCAAATATATAGAAACTTCATACACAACTAACGAAAAATGGGAATCCACAGACTCTTTGTTAAGAGCCATTTTCCTCGCGAAAGGGAGATTTCAAAAGTCTGCCAGGCCTCGTCGCTTAATTCTTATTGGTTGCTTCTGAAGGTCATGGACTAGACCAAATAACCTGCCACTTGACAATCCTTCATATTTACCAGCCTATAGTCAGATTTCCTTTCAAGCCAGAACTTATGTATAAGGAAAGAAACAGAAACGAAAGACTTTTGGAATGTCAACATTATGCATTGTCCAACATCTATGTAAATGATGAGGAAGCAAGTGCTTTGTTTAGTAAAAGATACAATTACTGCAATGCGGACTAGTGCAAATGAATCCGCAGAATAGTCATCGAGATGAACATTACGCAGTATTAGGAAGGCAAACGTAACTTATCTGGGTGATTACTCTAAAATACCTGTGTAATGACATGTTTTATGATCCCATAGGTATTCAGAGTTTGACAAGGAGCAGTACAACTGGTCTGCCGCCCGACGACGTCGATCAAACTTTCTTATCCTTCAAGACGACTGATCCACCTAACGGGGAAGTCCGCAAGGAATTCCGACTCCTGAAGTGTCACAAATCATCAGTATCAGATAACTTACCTCTAACCCCTTTTAAAGACGGTGGTGACCTTCTGGTAAAGGAACTGACTGAGATGTTTACAAAGTGCTGGGAATTAGTGTTTGAGCATCGTGAAATTAGTCGACAGTTGTTCCTATCCTTAAAAGGAGTTTACGTCGTTTCTGCAACAACTATCAGGGGGTAAGTCCTCTTCCGATCGCATCCAAAATAGATTCACGAGGAGAAAGATGATGTTCGTTCTGGTTGGTGATGTATTGAACATATTTCAACCATCATTCCCATGTGTTAAAACACCACCATATCTGTTGCAGAACAACAGTCTTTCGTTACTTGACATCATGGCCATATTCGACTAGTTGGACAGGACTGATCTCTGCGATTGTCTATTGACGAAGGATATGCCTGAGAAGTCTACCAACATCTTTAAGGTCCTATATACCAAAAATCTCAGGCAAACTGAGTGCATACAAACACTTCTCTTCATTCTTTTGTTCAAACAGTGGGGTTGGGTAATGTTGACCAATCTCACCATTCATTTTCAACTTCGCTATTGTGTGTCACCATCTTGAAATACCGACTTCCGTGGCTTGGATATATCCTACAAACGTTGTCTGAGAAATTTCCACGTTGTGCCTTGTTCGCCAACTTTGGAACTGGTTGAAAAAAAGCGGAGAGGTTGTCACTGTATGACATGGTTTCGTGGTGTGAAATAAACCTGTGCAGGACTGTCTTCTATTGGTCCTTCATGATACTTTGGTTGGAGTCTTATAAGTGGTGCAGTACAGAGGTTAGAGACGTTATTACGCATATCTCAGAATATGAACCAGTTGCGATTCTGCTGTAACTTTACTTTACTTTCTTTGTGAAAGTGAGAGTAACCTCTTGAACTGAACGAATTCTTTCTGGTTGAAATTTCCTTAATTCAACTTCTTTTTGCGTTACTATTATTGTTATCACCATTTTATTTCATTCTCATATCCTAATTTCTATTTATCTTTGTTTACTTTCCTTGATACACACTTTCCTTTCCGTATATCTTCACAATCTCTCTTTTATTGTGTAGCGCATATATATTAAATGCTTACCCCACCAAAGTTTGTGTTGAGATATTTGAATAAACTAGTTAAATTACATTGTAGCTATTTGTTGGCTCCTAAATTATTGACCATGATGGATGGACCATTATATATAAATTTTCCGTTCGACTCCACGAACTGTAGTTAAGCAAACCCCGCTTCGTGGTTTTGACGACCAAAGTCAGTGATTGATGTGGTAAAAAAAAATTACACACATATTTAAAAAGAAGGGCCAATAGGTAAGCACCGTTGTATGGCCAGTCTTATGAAGCTTGATTTAGTGTTTATAGTCAGGCAGGTGGGAGACAACTGGACAGGTAACGAATAGAGTGGTCGACAAGTAGAAATGTGCACGCATACGTAAACGTAAAAAGACTCAAGCTTATGAGTGGATCGTCGAAAAAGGCATACTTGGATTTACAGACGAAATGACACAGACGTTGTAGAAGAACTGTACTGGTTGAGACAACTTTATTTGTTGTCATATTGGTTTGCGGGAAACGATAAACGTCTAAGGACTATATTGTATAATCATTCATTTTCATAAAATAGGTGAGGCCGACCAGTCCATTCTACTTCACGTTTCCCAAATCAACCCCTCTTTTCTTTCCTAAATATAGCAACAGGGGGATGTTAAATAAGGAAGACAATTACACTGTCGATAAACATATTAATTGTCAGTGATCACTTTTTATCTAAGTGGACAAACTAATATCCAGCATCTACTGCGAATAATTGTGAATATTATATTTTATAAACATATTCAAAACCTGGTGGCGTGATTTAGGACAAAACATATGATGAAAGCAGAAAGGTTTACTTGACCCCCAATGTCGTGTAGTTTGACATATTAGTTTAGACGGATCAGCTAACTTAACCTTAAATATCTTCGCCGTATTTAAGCGTACCCACACTGAAGGTGGATTGCTTTCGTAGAAATAAGTCTAAAGATTAAGAAATTTGGTTTACAGATGCAGAAGAACTAAAAGAAAATAAACTAACAAGACCTCAGGAAACGGTAACCTGTGGGAACAAAAGACACAGGCATGAACTCTTGGTATCCTGTGCTTGGTCGTTCTTTGATGCTTACCATCACCTCAGTTTCCTCTCTCTCTGTCCTATTCTCTTAACCAAAACCTCTCCGTATTTAGGAAATTCGTTTTGCTTTTAAACAGTGGTCTTTTTTAATTCATTGATTTTTGATCATTTCGCCTCATACTGGTGCTTGATAATGGCGATTCGCGACAAATTTTTTGACGTGGATAATTTGGAATAATTTCGAAACTATGATTTTCAAATATTACAGGAACTATGGTACGTAAAGGAGCAGTAACCGCGATCGCTTTCTTCAGATTTAGTTCTTTGCATGACTGCTACTGGTTTTAACTGGTTAGTCTGTAACAGCCTAGGTTGGTTGGTTATATTTATAATTATCCTATATTGAATGTTGAAAGGCTTTGTTCGTCTGAACAAATAATCCCACGCTCCACTGTGACTGCGCGAAGATCTAAATAAAGATCTATTCACTAATTGTCTGGTTTCTTCTATCAGCAGCACGAGGGTTACCTAGAGGCACAAAAAGTCTTCTGTATTCATGGTCTTGTTTTCGCTACGAGACAAAGTTGGTTGTGTCACTGCAGATAGTTCAATTGATTTCATTTAGATGCCACGTTTTCCATCCAATTCGTTTTCCTGCATTCGCATCAGAACTGCTCCGAGGTTCTTAAACCTACATGTATCATGAAACTTCAATTAACATAACAGTTTTTCGAAAACCTAAAAATTACCTACGTCAGTTTTCATGTATTGCTATACTTTTTGTAAGTTCATTATGGATCAACAACCTCCTTCTATTCGAATCACTTGTAAGTTCATTAAAAGACGTTTACTAACATCCAACATATTGCCGATATCCATATAGATATCCACGGCACCTTGAGCACTGAGAGTATTACTCTGACATTATTATTGTGTTCATTACGCAACCATCAAATCTAAGTAATCATAATGAGTCAGATAGGATCCATATTTCAACTAAGGCCAAACACGTTACTATGACGGAATGGGTCATGGGATTATTGTGCTTATTGGTCATTAGTAAGTGCTGTTTCTCTTGCTCTCTTACTATCCCCAAATTAATTACTGGTTATATGATCATTTACCCTTATTTCATTTGTTGATTGTCACTTCATTATTCTCTTCTCTTTTACAATCCTCTGCACTTCTACTGCTTTTATACCGGCTTAACATTATTAACCAGACTAGGATACGATGTTACACTCACTAGTTTTAGAGACTCTATTGACCGACTTAAAAGTTACCGCGTTCCAAACTTATAGATCTATAACCACCTTCCTTAAATCACTGAAACTATTTCAGCTGAAATAAGTATAATCAAAATAAGTGTCATCAAGTTTCTCGATTAGTACTCCAACATCAAGTCATCAGCGCAAAAATTACAATAATTTCTGCCAGTTTATCAAAAAAAATAACGAAAATAGTCCTGAACTTCATTATTAACCATGTAGATAAAATTAATTCAGTGACGCAAACCAACACGGACGACTTGAAGATATGGAGATGTATAAAAGATGAAAATGATTTACTGGAGCCTCAAAAATAACTATAGAGGAGTGGACACTAGACAATTTTTTGAAAATTAACTGACCGATATGCTATATGATGAACATCCGGGCGCAGAACACTGACGTCATTTATAAAAATGTGCTCTTGATAGTCTTTATAGAGCTCGGCTTAGGAATGGCAATCACAAAAAATGTTTACACCAGCCCAAGCTACATCTAAAAGGCAGTCAAAGTAATTCCAACTCTTTACTTCACATATAGACAGCTCTACACGAAAATACAAAGATAATTTTTAAAACTGTTTATGAATTGCTTGTAGAATTATGGTCTAGTTCGTTATAAGTACTGCTCTAATAACAGACCTCATCCTAAAATTGTAGATTTATCATGGTGTAGCTGCCTAATCTATAAGATCTTATGTAAAAGTTACATCAGTCTACACTGACTCATCATATAATCACCAATATATGATGAACACATTTAGGCTGGAGGTAGAACAATACATTTATTATGAATAAAAGAGAAAAGTTACGCAGGAACGGCCAGGCCTGAAAGACTGAGCCATGCCATCCGATGAGTTGAATTACGAATGAATGTTCTTGCATATATACCTTTATTGACCTTCTCTTAGTGTTACATGTTTGAAGTCTATTTTCCCAGTTATCTCATGTTTAGCTTTGATGATTGTGTTTAGGATTCAATGACACTACATACTCACGACATTACCTCGGAGACCACTAGTTTTCGTACCCACTCTGTAACGAAAAGAAAACGCTGAAAATCCCCCACAGCTTTTTTGTTGGACGGTATTGTCATTTGTTTGTTTCTTCTCCCTGTCGTGTATTTTATCCTTCGTTCAGATCTTGTCTAACCACGCATTTTGTTCTTTAGTCTTCCTCGTCTGAGCCCTTATTATGTCATTTTGATTAAAGACTCATCTTTCATTACCTAATTTTCTATTGTATGTTGCCGGACTATTGACAGTAAGATCGTGTTTGACTAAGCTCAATGTCAAAACGTGGTTCAGTGCATGACTGTTAACCTTTCGCCTGTCCACTTGGGAGGATTGCTGGAATACATGCAGATAGATATTTGATCCCATCGTGTAGGGAATATGTTTATTGATTTTCAGGTATAGAACCCTTTGGTATTAACTGTTTCTTTTATTGTTTAGCGCGTTACTTTGCGTTAGAGAAACTTCTGACTGTATAGCACAAGCTGTACCGTTCGAGGTATTTTGTATTTTTGGTATTATTTGTTCTATTTTTCAAATTAAAACCATTTAAATTGAGCACGAAGTTTGTGTTTTGATATAATTTAATACGAGTGTTTCAAAAACGCTTTGTAAGCTATACAGAAGAACGTAGTCTGGCCTATTCGAATACATTTTGGTTTGTCAGTCCTGCGTTCAAACCGAATACTGGCAGTTCGGTCGTTACACACTCTCTTAAAAAGAAATAAATTTCTAAGATGATATACGGAGACAAATGACAAAGTAGGTGATGAGTGTACTTTGCAAAATGAAGCAGTTTGAAATCAGAAGTAACTGTTTGGATAATGCCATGTTTGAAGCGACCACGAGTTCACGGAACAAAGACTCTGTGATCATAGACAAATAGGTCAGCTATTCTGTTGCGTTCAAGATTTGCTAACTAAAGAGAGGAGTTTAGGTTCAAAACGGGGAAAATATATCCCACAAGAAGCCAGAAGCACGAGTAACTACAACAGGCACAGCATAAAACTGTCCTAGAGAAGCGTTACAAAACAGCATACTCAAAGATACAACAAACTAATAGCGTTTAAGGTTCTCCCAAGTAAGGGATAAGACATCAAGGTGAAAATGAGTTCTTTTGTCAGGAGAACAAATATTTCAACTTTTCAAAATAAAATTACAATAATAAGGTATTTATCAGGTGAGTTTTTGGGATCCAACATCTCCAACAGATAAGTTGAAATACGCACTTTACCCATGTAAAATCCAAAACAAAGTGATTGGGAAAACCATGGTTTCACATTTGGTCACAAACCCAAATGTACACCATCACCTAAACAAAAATTACCACCCTGTCATTCAACCAATAATAGTTCAGCCAGTAGTGAAATCCAAATTACATCAAGTAGATAAAAATGTTAAAGGATATAAGGGAATTATCGAGTGTAATAAATGAAATTCCTCGTAAATACAGGATCATCATTCCATCTTTACTAGATAGATCACTTACAAATCGTTCAAAATATGATATTTAATTTTGTTTTCATACGGAATGTCATCAGTTTTGAAAAAGTTCTTCAATACACAGTTATTTGTGCACAATTCCAATTAATCCAAGTACAACGACCAAAAAGGTGAGCGAATGAACATGGCAGCCATTATAACCAGGATCCAAATGAACACAACTTGGATATAGTTCAGGAAAAACATATAAGCTCAATGAAAATGCAATAAAAACTGAGATTGCAGTACAATATAAATAGTACTACCTCGGCTGAAATCGAAAGGTCAACGCAATGTATATCTGAAGGAATCATGCACAATAATTCACAACAGTGTGTATGGGGAGAGATTTTCATACGCTAACCTCCGAAAAGAGTTTTACAATGCGACTAAGAAAAAAATCTTACTAATATTAGTTCCAACCCTTGGGGATATTTTTGCCGATTAATCGGAGAATAAGAAAACACCTATCGGTGGCAGACAATATCTTCAGCACACCGAGTCACTATTATTTGAATGCCTCGCCAAAACTTCACTAACACACAACTTGATGAGTCCCCAAAATAAGTGCACATCGAAAGGCAGACACCGAGACACACTTCTATCTTTTCATATTAAATGTTACCCACAGTTGGAAGGCTCTTTCAGCTCAAGTAATTATATTTGCTTTAGTGGATAACTTTAGCAGAAGACTTGATAAAACTAACTATCAGATCTCTAATTTCTGCTTGTACTAGTTTCATCTGATGCACGTCCCGCAACTCAACTACTGTTAACATCACCACATATCGATAAATTATTCCTACCTCTTATCATCATTATTTTTTCCCATTTAAGTCTTTAAAACCTTCTTTTTACACATCACTAATTAACCAATCAACCAACCGCCTGCTTGATAGTGTAACAGCCGCTGGTATCCGGAAAACTTACGGCTATGTGACGTATTCACTGGGGTGATGTTCTCCGTGATGTTTGGGGATTTTGCTTTTTCCCTTGTGTATGTTGAGGCCTACTGATGCAGAGACTGCCGCTACACTAGTTGTCTTCATCTGCACTTATTCGTGCGTATCGGAATAGGCAGGTCACATGCCAAGTCCAAGTCGTTTAGTTGCATCCAACCTGTCCATTGTAGTCCGTGCTTCTCCTGAGATGTTGAAGTCTTCATAACCCTGTCAACGATGAGAAGAAAGATAAAGGGGCAGAGTAGACAGAATCGCCCGACTCCAATCCTCACTTGGAATGCGTCTGTCAGCTGTCTTCCATGCACAACTCTGCTATGTAGTCGTATGAATTCCATATGATTTTGACGATTTTCGCAGGTACTCAGTGTTGTCGAAGAAGTTCCTATAAAGTCTTCCTATTCACACTGTCAAACGCCTTTTCATAGTCAATGAAGTTGGTGCATAATTTTGAGTTTCATACAATTCATTCTAATTACATGACATACAAATCCAAAAACAGCTACCAGAATGAATAGAATTAATGTTATAAAGTGTTCATACTACCATACACCGGAAATAACGAAATATCTAGAAAAGCACTGAGATAACAAGAAAATGGCGGAAATAAGTAAATCGGCTGATGTAGGCTGATCATAAGGAAATTGGTTTTGGCTACACACTTTCAAGACGTGCGCTACAGTGCGGTCAACTAGAATAAGTAAGATTGCCAATTGTTGTCGACTGCCTTGCTTACTTAAAGCCAATGCAGTTTGTGCCCATCCTAAGTCGGCGGCATATTTTTCGTATTGCTGCCTATCCCAGCATTCCTCACACACACTGCCTTAGTACCCAAAGAATCCAATATTGGATTCTTAGAGTATTTATAGATACCTGCTTTTTCACCTGTCACTGGGAAACTAAGTTGAATCTCTCCTTTTATTCGTCATGTGTTTCAAATTTGTCAACATCTCCCACGAAATTTTGAATGACTTTGGAAATATCTATTTGTATCGTTTGATAAAACTCGAAAATATGCCCGACATTTCGGGAAAGCCATACGTTCTTTGTTGAGAACCACAAAGAATTTTCTATGTGTATAAACGTCTTTCTTCTTTATTTGCTCAGTCTAGGAACTTTTGGTAAATGTTGGAGTTCTTTCCGAAGTTGTATTAAAATTCGAATTTTTCCCAATGTTTGGGGACACTCTAAATTTGGTGAAATTTCTCCCAAAATCGGGAAATTGAGTGTAGTTCATTTCGCGAACTTAACACATTTCTAAAACCATTACGTCATTGTTCTCCACATCAACATGTCGCACTAACACCGAGCTTGCATAAACGTTCTACGTAGAATTAAGTAGACTACGCTTAGAAGACAATATGTGAAGAAGCAATCACTTTATTCACCACATCGAAGTAGTTCTATCTTGTCAACACGTAATAACAAACGCCATATATAGGAATTGTTGTGGTTAAAAGATTGTGTTATAGGTGAGATTGTATATTGAGACGTGAAACGATACACGCATTCTTCACGAATCATTCACGTCATGTTTTTTTTCATCGGGATTGAGTTGTTAGTGTGTTTATTATGTCGATATCGAACTTTCGTTAAGTGTTCCACAAACAGAATAAAACATTAGTCTTCCATGTAGTAAACGTAATATCTAAAATTTTCCCATGCTAATAGTATACACTTTTTACAAAAAGTAGTAAGAACATGCAGGTATTCAATAATACATTCAATCTTTATTAAGTTCACCTTTCCTTGGGACCCCCATCAACGTTTATTTACTTTATCTCCTGCGTCGTATGAGAAAGCCTGACTCGCAACGCTCATCGTTATTTTGTTTTCGGGATAGTTCGCACTTTGAACCGCGAACACAGAGCACCTAACAAAAGACACCGACTGTAATCTTGGCTTGTTGCGAACTGTTCTGTAGAGTTGGTAGTTACTCATACCCATTTCGCTTCTAGCTCTATATAAAGTATAATTAATGGCCAGTTCGAGCGTCGACACGTAAGCTAAACAATCTTTGTAAACTTCCTAAGATCACAAATGATCTCTGACAATTTCTTCACGTTAAATTTTATAACTCACAAATTACGAACTGACCGCGGGCTTTTTGCTCTTTCAATGCAGCTTCTAGAGTACGCAGCTTTTCTGGTGTTTTCAATGGGAATGCCAAAGTAAAACTGCAGCAACTATACCTATCCTTCACAACTCTCTATGAGCTTCTCATGTAAAAAGGAAGTTTATAGATCTTGTTAGACGGATTAGTAATCGCTTCAAAAATCATTTGCAATGTTACTTTATCATTGTGCTATCTATTGGTACAAAATTTAGTTTAAGTTTAAGCTACTCGCTAACAACAGCCACAGATGGAAGCGGCAGTGAGAACACCTCTGTTTTAGAAGAACTGCTCTATGAGCATGTACTCATCAGATACTTAGCTATTAGTGAAAATCTCTCAATCGAAATGCTAAATACTAAAAACTCAGCAACCTTCAATTCCCCAGGGTTTACAAATAGTCATTCATTTTTCGTTTAACAGCCCTAACGAGGAATTTATTACGTACGTTCATCAATTCACATCTTCGGCTTTTATTCCTCGTCGTTGATGAGGACGTACTGTTTCGATTGATGATATAGATCAATGCAGTAGTGTTATAAATTTCTAAAATCTTACGTATAATAACTCCATAACATTCACAATAACTTTCGGGGTTATGATGCCAAAGCACTAATGTGTAGACGTTCTGCACTAAGATATTCTACGTGTTACAGGCCTTAAGAAATGAAGTCATCCTATCTAAGAAAAGGTATGTAAAGTGGAGATAATTACCCTGTAATATTGAGCCGGAATCGAGATACACTTACAAAGTATGTTTGTCATAGTAATCCACGTACACCTGTGGCTGACTACAGAGCATTTAAATATACCTATAGTACTAGGAGGAAACGGGTCGGTGAAGAAATCTGAAGCTTTTGTGTATCAATCAGTTAGTCAGCTGCAACTTAAGACACTTATATGCATCGGTCCAAGTTGCCATACCTCATTAGCACAACAAGATGAACACCAAATTCATAGAAGTAGTCACTTCAATGGTTGTAATATATAAAAGAAGGATTGTGTATAAGGATATAGTACAGGAGGAAAGAATTATTTCGTAGAAAAAAAGATATAAAGCAATTTTAATCTCACGGTTTAAGAGAGGACAAAGATTGTAAACACCGACGCCATTGTGATCGATTTTCAGCCATGTCACCAAGAGTCTCCAACCATTGGTTACCTTAGTCGCGAGGACCCCAACCAAGTAGTCTGCATCTACCAACATGGCTTATACTAGAATTGAATGACTTTATGGACTGATGCCATGTTTTGGTTTTGTTAGGTTCGTTAAGCTTGAATGCTACTACTGATTCGGCTTATTCGGAACGGAACGATCAGAGTAATATTTCTAGGACATCTGTGGTCAAATACTGGTAACTTATGAGTATCTTCTACTATTAATGGTCGAAACCTAATCCTGCCACTCTCTACAACTTGGGTGATGAACCTAGTCTTTCAATTCGCTACAACTATATTGTTAGGTCTAGTACTAAATAAGCTTCGAGTCTCTATAGCGAAAATAGGTGGATGCATTCGCTTTAGTCGCATGCTGGTTAAATTATTTTATAAAGAGGTTTTCAGCCATGTCTAAGCATATAAAGCGTGTCGGTTCTGAAGGAAACATTCAACATATATCCATAGGCAAGTTATCAAAGAACACAAATGGATTTACTCAGTCATTTAAAATTTCGTGAGAGATGTTGGAGAAAACCCAACTTTTTCTCAAAAGTGTTGAGGATTTCCCCCAAATAAATTTCGAAAAAAACTCCATATCAAAAGAAATTTTGGCGTTTTTAGACGCATTTCTGCGAAATTTCTTTAAGAGCTCCCCAAGTTTCAGGAGATTGGATCAGACCAGGCCTCGTATAATTGAAATACCTACTTGATATTTGATGGAATTTTTAATCGCTTTTGATGAAACATGTTCTGTATCTTCAAAACCCAAGATTTTTAAGCACCTCCGACGTCTTCCGGAAGATATCAGCTAACGATATCTAACAAAATATGGTACCATTCAAGCTGATATCATTCTATAATAAGAACTAGTCGAGGTGACTATCCAATCTATCGGCTGTTACTACCAAACCTCAGATATATTCAACATTTAGATTCTTTTCACGATTCTAAGTCAACTGTACGGCCTAGTAGGTTTCTAATTTAAACCATGCTGGAACAGTAGTTAACTGATCATAGTATTTAAGTTTTAACCATTGGGTCACAATGAAATTCTACTCCTTCTTCTTGTACTTAAGGAGTCGATTAGTAATATCAGATACCGCACATAAATCGTTACTTCAAACCGCGTACACAAACCTGTTCTTGATAGATGATCATAATAAGACTAAATCACAAACGATTTTTGCATTCATTGTCAATAAAAAGTTTTTTTTCAGTCATCCTGAAAATTGTCAGTGAAGGTCAACATGGATTTATTGTGATCATCAATGACAACTGAGAGACTATTTGATAATATAAGCATCAAGCCTGGACTTATTGTATTCGACCTGGGTTAGTTTCTTTTGCTACATAAGTGATAAAAAACCATCAGATTGTACATTATGGCCGTTTGACTGTGACATTTACGATAGTCAAGTTTTTCACAAAAAGTAAGTTTGTGTGTTCATCTATCATTGTTAATAGTGGTGATATGATTTATGATGAAAATAATTACCCACTAAATATACTTCAAGATTCAAATAATATATTGAAATCTATCAAACAAGAAAAGGATATACTATTGGCATGTGCTTCAAGGTTAGTTTCTTGGTTCTCAAACGTTAGTTTTCAACATTATAATAAGAGTAATATATGAATTAGTATAAATGGGTTTGTGGAGATTAGTGAGTTTCTTGGTGTACATCACTGAAAACTAGGAAGCAGTGTACAGATGTTTTGTCCTGACACGGGACCTCTCAACAATGACCATCCGTAACCTCACCAGAAACCTTCAGGTTCACATCTGGAACCTCAAGTTAAGATCTAATGCCTTACATTTCTAGCTTCGATATTTCGTAACTATCTTCCATTGCTGTTAGTGGGTAACCATCTAAACCATTGAACAACAGCTTCAAACTAATTGAGAGTAAATGTTTGTTTAAATGTATCGATAAGAATAGTTAGAAAATGTACTGCCTATGCTTGGCTATTACTTAGTTTGGATAGAGTCAAAATGAAGAACTTTCAGAATACTGTTCATGAAATATCGTGTCGTTTTTTATAATGTGCTGTATAAAAAAACAAATTCACTTTATGGATTTAGAAGCCTAGTTGGTACAACTTATTAATTAAGAACAGATCAATCCGTCTCGGTTAAAGCCATAGACTTCATGTAAAGACTCCTAACAAAACCAATGCTGATAGAATCGAATTTTATCCTACAACCTGATGACTGTAAATCAAATGCTATAATTCACTTATGTATCACTTAGAAAACCATCATTATTTAAAGTATTGGTTATAAATATTACTTCGAAAAATCGATGACAATAATATAGATGTACTAATCATTCGATCTTTTAAAAGTACTATTACTGTATATCTGTTTATTCCTATTTTATTAGGTTTTTCTATTTGATCATCTTACTGTAACCCACTTTCTGCCTATTAGATTTCGGCTTTCATTTCTGTGTTAAGCTACCTAATTAGGCAATCAAGGTAAACTTATCGATCTACGTTGAAAATTAACCAATATCTGATGGCTTCTATGTGCTGACACAGTTTATCATGGCTAAAGTTTAAATAAACTAAAATATAGTTAAGGATAGCAGGAAAAAACGTGTCGTCAATCATTAAAGTCGGTGACGTTTACTTTGGACATATGTTGGGAAACTAAGTTACTCAGAACTCATAGTATACAGAATTAGTAGTCATTGACCCTCAAAAATTTAGTTCAGCAACCAAGTTAAATTTCATTTATGCAGGATCGAACCAAAATTTTGATATGAAGGCCAGTGATACTGTCCTGTTGTCGAAACCAGAGATGGAGCCGTTTCTGTGATCTCAGCAAAAATCTTCAAATAACTAGTCCAGGATCCTGTTAACCCTGTTTTTAAGCTTTTGGTATTTGGGAGAAGTCATGAAGTAGTTTTGTATGTATGTTTTGTGTTTAGAAGTTTATAATTTACGCAATACTAATAACCAGTGGTTGAAGATATCAAGCGATACGGCATAAATGCGACCTCGTAATACAGTTGGGTTTATTGTCTATCTACTTTTAAGTTTGGAGTTAGGTCTAATCCTTAACTTTATATTCTTCGATTCCTAAACTTTCTGAACTGTTTTTTGCAGATATCAGGTGCAAGGCTCAAAATCAATCTCAGTGACTCAGACTCATTTACTCCTCGTCTTCCCTAAGATCTTGAGTTTTAAAATCATCTTTTACTCTCTACTTTCGCGAATTTATTCCCTCTTCTGGAATCATATTGTCTGTGATTGATTACTTCTATTTAGAATTTGTCCTAATAATTTCATCTCGTTGTACTGATATGCCATGATAGCTTGAACTAATGCACAAATGTCTCTGGTTTTACACTGCTTACAGTTGACTGACTCTAAAATACATTTATCATGTTTATTTCTCCATTTAAGTTAGGTTTGAGTTACAATGTATGTTGTTTCGATATGTGGAAAATGTATCGATGCACACTCGCAATAGATTTTACAATGATGCTCACTGATTGACTAATTTTAAGAAAATTTCCACCTTCGTAGATATATTCACCTAATTATCTGATAGTTGTACTTAGAATTTGCTACTTGATTTTGCCGACGTCTTCTACAGTATTTGACAGATGAATATCTCCGTCATCATTATCTTTCTCAACTTAACAAGCGTAACACTATAAACGCTCATATCCCCTAGCAATTGAAGTTATGATTTCACATTGTCCACTCTTATTTTTTCATTATTTCGAACTGTACAAGACATTCAGTTTAGTGTGATCTTATTTCATCCTGATCTCCACTAGTTATTCTATTACTTTTCCTAAATATTAATATAGGACCCCTTCGGTGGAAACAGCTCGTCAGTTAGTTCACCTTAATGGTTGGGATAAATTATTCGATCATATGGAAATATATCCAAACAGTAAAATTGTTCACTTCCAGACGTAAGTTCGAATCTATCTTATAATATATATAAATTTTTCAATGTAACGAGTTGAATTTACAGGTTGTTAACGTACACTGATGAGGATTCCTATAATAAGACAAAATAGCTATCCAGTGCTTCCTGGTTCGATAGGGAATCCTTGTGAGCGGCCTATACTCCTCCATGAGGGGTAACAAGCGTAAGTAAGTAGGCTTCATAGTTTTCGGGGGTAATCTAACCAAAGTCATTCCGTTGTTTAACTCCAATTCCAATAGTCTCCACAAAGTCCTATAGTAACAGTAACAGTGCTTACTAGTGACTAATTTCGAGAGCTAATTTCCCGGAGTTCCAGTAAAAAAGCCATGATCAACTGTATTTAACGATATTGGGCCTCAGACAAATATCGCCAGTGGAAGTGGATGATGGTCGCACAATATTGCGAATTGACTTAAACTGTAAACAACTGGATGCCAACTCAGTGGTCTGAAACTTAAGACCTCACTGCTATACTCGATGGTCGTGGGTTTGATTTCTCGTTGAGTAGTAAATGCACATTGTCGAGGAGTCCCATAATAAGACAAAACAGCTGTTTGATGCTTCCTGATTTTCAGTGGTAGTCGAATCAAAATCATTTTGTAGTATGAAACTTCAAATTCACATTAAGGCTAAGATTTTCAAATTTCAACCCATAAAAATACGCCACCTTTCCCTATACAAATACATGTTAGATTATTCCAAATTACTGTGATTAATTAACCAATCAAGAATAAATAGTTTAACCCACTGAGAATAATAACTACTTATTTGATCTAGAAATGAGCTATGGTAAATAAAAATGAAAGAGAAAAATACTAGAAAATTAATCTAATTCAAAAGCATCTACACCTTGAAGTCAAAAGTTGTTCGGTAATTCTCTTTTTTTTCTTCATATCCAACATTGAATTAAAGTGAAATAGAATGAATTTCAGTTAAGTGTACAGTTTTATGGTTATCTAAACATTTGTTGCTTTTCTGTTACAATAAAATTAAAGTGACTTGACAAAACACAGTGTGATAGTAGTAGTAGTCGTAGTGTAGTGAAGGAGAATACAGGTGACGACAACCGGATTGTATTCAGCATGAAATTATAGAGTTACTTGGTAAAATAGAAAAACCATATAATCAATTGTTAATTTGCAAAATATCAATGTATCATATCAACCTGGACTGTTCTTGTTGCACACATCAATCAATTGTCTCACATTTCATTGTTCATGCATTTCCTTACATATTGCATTGTGTTGTCGCTCTTCCTTTCTTGATCTTACCCCATCTTCTGCTGCCAGACATTACGTTCTTTAACTCGTTTCATATACTACTTATATCAATATAAGTAGCACACACCTCAGTAGTAGTGCTAGCGAAAACAGTTTTTACGCTGTATAATACAGCAGTGATAAATTCTAACTTTATATATTATCTAAGGAGTAGTATTATTTATTGAAGGTTACTTTTTTTTCTGGTAAAGAACGAATCACATTTATTAATAATGATATTCATGTGGGCTTTTTCTCTGTAAAAGCTACTTTTTGTCTTTCAACGGAACAGCTATTACCTTTTCATCACTGTAAGGATATATACATGTTATTATGATTATTATCATTTGTTAAATTACTCATGAGTACCAACTATAGTAATAAACTTATAAATTCCTTTGTACCTACTCTACATTGATCCTATATATTTGCTAAGGAGATCATGGGATTAGTCAGTCTTTATTGTTGTTGTTTTCACTACTTTTAGCAAACTAATTTTCTGCGCTTTAAAGTCGTGCTTTTATTACTATGTATATTGAGTTGTACTTTTTCAAGTTGTTTTGCTCAAATGTCGAGTTTTTCTGAGACTTTTCCTTTTTGTGCTCATGGCTAAATGTTAAAGCGTTGTGTGCTGTTTGTCGTTATCGATTTCGCAATAGGACCATTCGTATCAGGGATAGTTCAATCTTTCCTTAATTCGCAATTGTCGTGGCCCAACTGAAAACTCCAATGAACACAGTCGTTTTTATTAAGATTTAATAATATTGTGGTCTGAGCCCATACACGTAGTATATGGTTACTGTTTTATTCTTACATTTTACGAAGGTGACTTTTTAAATTAGGTTATTGTAACTTCTTTCCTTTAATGTTGTACATTTAGAGTATATATTGAGATATGTTGGCTATGTTTGTCATATATTTATCTCATTGAAAATCAGGGTACACTAAACATCCGTTTCGTCTTGATATGGGATTCCTCAGCAGTGTACACCAACGTACCCATCAGGGATCGGGAGTGGGACTTCCACATCCCTCATCAAACTGCTAACCATTGAAATCACTTACCAGGTTTATTATCCCGAGTGTTGACTCTATGTCGGATGGTAAACAATAAAGCTAATGAAGTATCGTAGTGTCTGGTACCATGTCAAGTTCACATGGGTTATTCTGGCTTCCCGATAGACCAACTTATTCATTCTTCTTGACCTTGTTAATTATTCGCTTATTAACTTTGACTTTTTATATAGGCTTGTGTGTGCATTACTTATCCTACTCATCACATGTCTGTGGCAAGTTCGAAAAATCCCTCGTCGAAGTCTCTAGAGGCTCAGAAAATGCCAGGAAACGTTTATCCAATTAACGTTGAATAGAAGTATCGCATATACATATAGAAAATATCGAATTACATGCCACAGTTTTGATTAGATATTCCCCTATACTGTTACTTTATTCAATATGGTTCCGAAAATTTCTAGAAGCTCAAGGTCGCTCGTACCTGTATAAATATTTTCGTTTTTCTGTACATAAACGAACTTTGAAGTAAAGCGTTTACTGTCCCAGTTGAGTTTATTGAAACCGGTTAGGGAGACAGTATTATGCCTTTTGGTAGCAGAAATATCGGGTATCGGCTGTATTTACATTAAAAAATTTTAATTCTAAGAAAAACAGTTTAATTGACTGTGTGAGTATAAACATGTTACTTCCCATAGTCTCACATACTATCTCAGGGTCAAACTCTAGATGAAAAATTACAAACGAGGTACTCTACGGGAGGAAGCTGATTATGCATTCACTCAAGGTCTCAGTGTAAATTTCTTTGTTCTTATCAGAAGGACAACCATATATGTCACCTGTGATTTTCTTACATTGAAAATTGGTCCGACAACTAAATTTCCCTAATTATTTTAGCCTTCTCATCTACATAGTGCGTTTAACATACCGTAGTAAGTATATCGTAACTAAAATAGACCATTGAATACAACATAATTTTTGTTGACTTAATTAATCAAAAACGTAATTAAATAATTACTTCATTCAACCTTTCATCTTTTACTATTCTTGTATAAAATGCGGTGATACGATATAAATTGATAAATATTTTTGCTACATTTTATACTTTATGTAAGTACGATAAGTTCGCTGATTTTGTTATTGGTGTATCTAGTCAGAGTGATATGTGATTGATCAGTGGTTGAAAATAGACATGCCCAGCTACACTAAATATAAATGACTGTCTTAAATCGGAATGTTCACTCCACTTTTATTTTATGTACTGAGTGCTTTTTATTTGTGTTAATCAACTTGTTTGGTCTAATTTGATTCACCATAGAACGGTCGTATAATTAAATGACTGTGTGTATCACATAACCTAGTGTATAATGTTTGTAGTGTGAGTAATGTGAATAATTCAATTCCTTCTCTGTTATAGAGAAGGATTGTTTAGAATTCTAATGATGATGAGCAACGTATTTTGCCTATTAAAGTGATCAGTGAGAAATATTAATCAATCGATGATTCATAAAAAAAAGATTTTATGTTAACTCATAACCACTCATGAGACTAAATTATCGACGTAACTCCATAAATAAACCGATATCAGGCGATGCTCACAAACGCAGTGTCTTTTTCGTAAAATTGATATGTATCGCACCTAAACTCCCTGATAACGACTTCCTCGTCTTTTATTGTTGAACCCCGAACAGAAGATAAATTGAAAGTAAGAGGATAGATCTAGTTTCTATACGAAAAATGAAGGTATTATATAACCTTAAGTTTTTAAAAGATTCTGGAAAACATATTAAAACTGGTAACAAATCCGGTAGTAATTAAATCACTCAGCTTTCTAGGTATCTACTAAAAGTTTTTTAAGAGCACTTGTTAATCGGAGTGTTCTCACTAACTTCTCAGCTTCTGCAGACTTTGCTAAGGAATTATCGAGGGCTCTGGAAGAAAATGACCTAAATGTGCATAGAATTGTCAAACACATGCATGATTAAAAGCAATTTGAAGACTAGACGATTGATGATTTAAAATTTTGTAAAATATTATTCAAACAAACCAAAAACTGACTATCAGCTCTCATTTTTCGGTATCACTTCTTACAATGGGACATCAGTATTTACAATTCCAATTTAAAAGGCTTACTAAAAGAGTTCAACAACTTTCTTTTTAGATCATGTTGCTAATGTCTCTTTTGTGGACAATACCTGTAAGATTTAAAAAGGTGACCTTGAGAGTTATCCGCGTGTTTGATCTTTAAATCATCCATGATTTACTTTTTCGCGACTTTTTATATAGTCCAACAAACCTTTCAGGTAAAAACAATCTATGATGATTAACGAAAAATGTTATTAGTGGTATGCATTCATGTGATGATTACGTAATAGCAGTGATTGCTGTAAAACTCCACATATTATTCGGTCATTTAACATTATTCAATATCACATAAACGTGTCACTATTATTAAGGGTATAAATCTCATTATTGATATTTAGGACTGAATTTTGATCAGTCATTGTTGAGATGTAGAAATCAGTACTGGAATGTATCAGACACATTCAACTGACGAGTCCTAAGTAGATTGAAATACGCGTCTCTCACTGATAACCGCACTATGTGTGTTCTATTTCATATACATATTTTTCTTTCCTGTCTTTCTTGCACAGTGAAGGTCTATAAAAGTACTTTTTTACCGATGAATGTATATTCAAGGTATTCAACTTTACCGGTGTTGTTCTTTTTCAAATTAAATCATATTAATTTGGTTTCTATCTTTATTGTCTCCTATTACTCAATTTATTTTTGTGTGTAGAAATTTTATTCTCATTTAGCACAATAATAATTTAAGTAAATGTGACTAATATTGATCCAGTTACCATCAATAATTACTCCTACGTATTTCGACTAATATGATGTGTGTGTGTGTAGTCAACTATTAGTATACAAGTTGAGATACTTAATTTTCAACTACTATGTCAACTTGGCTTAGGCACTCAGATCATTCAAATTAGTATGTGTTACTCAATAGTGAATTCATGAACCTTGTTTCCTGGCTACGATGTTTTACTGACTTAGTCAAAAGAAATTTAATCTAATTGTTCAAACTTGACGCTAGATAGTATGGTCTAGAACTGGTCACAATTTTTTATGGCTCAGATCCTGTCATTTTTGCTTTTCCCTTAAGTCTTCAGCTTCAATATTATGTAGTACGTAGGACCTTAAGTTCCCTGCTTTTAGTTTTACCTCTCTCAAACCAATATAGCTCGACTGTCATCATGATATGCGAGGCCACGACCATCGGTCAAGGTAGCATCACCATCAGTTAATATCTGTTATTGCCTACCATGAGTAACTTAGCATGTTCCATCACAACTAATTAGATCAATTTTAGGTAACAGTTTTACATTCTGTACTACCTAGTTGGGTTTAGGCAGCCGCATTGTATCACTAACCTTTACATAAAAAGTGTTGCTCATGTTTTGTTAGTTACGTTGCTGTCAAACAAATAGTTAATTTTGAATTGTCCTGCAATCTAACCAATGGCTTTGACGTCGTTTTCAATTTAAGGCCGTATGATTTTGCTTCGGTTAGACGATAAAAGGTGAACAGTTATTTTTAATGCTTAGCTGAGTGGTTTTTCGAAATTCTTTTAGCTCGAAGACATTAACTGTATGCTGACATTGGATAAGGAAGGAAATTGATTCGAGGCTTATTAATACCTTCGATAGGCTAGTTCCCAAAACCTTTTGACAGCACGTGTGAATTCGATTATGATTAAATTGACTTTGTGGGCAGCCTATCCTAACAACTAACCAAGTAATCTGCTGGGTCGACGCTGACTGGCTACTCAGACTCACGTTCCCGTGTAAACCAATGAGGAGAGTGGCGTGAAGATAATGGGACAAAAGTTTGTATTTGAAGAATCTACGAAGAACAATCTAACAAAGTACATGAATAAATATATAAATCATCAATCAAAATAACTTATAAAATAAAATGTGTGCGAAAATGAAGATACTTCGGCTGACTCACGATTAGGTTACAACCATTTGATAATAGAATATAATACGACGACAGTTTATGGTTACATAGTTTGTTATTCTCCTTTTCTCTTCCCCTTATAAGAACTTATGAAAGATTGACACAGACTGAAAAACTTAGTAGACAAGGACAGTTGTTTCATATTTGTTTACAAGTCCTCAAAATTGCACACGGAATGGAACTTTTAAGTCATATGGAGAGTACGACACTTAGATTACTAAATTAAATGGCCCTTTTTCAACTTGTGTTCGTGTGTGGATTTATAATAGAGTATACAAATAATCATAAAATTCAAATTCGGTACTTTCCACCTTATATTAGTGCCTAATATTACACTACCATACATTGTCATGTGCATTTATATGTAATTTATTTTCATTTTCTTTACAGACTTCAACGAAAGACTAAAATTCCATACAATAAAATGATATTTTTCGATGATTTACAATGGAATATCAAAGAAGTAAAAAGTCTAGGTGTTCACAGCCATCACGTACCTAATGGTGTGCACATGGGGGCTTTTCGTAAAGCATTGAAAGAATATGAACGATTTTGGTCTTGTAAATAAGAAATCTATTCAACAAACTACAGTATTATCGCCATTGTCCTTCTCTTTCACCCCTGAATCAAACAAACTCTTTCTAGTCATTTCAAAGAGAGTTAGAGAAAACACCATATTTATTTCTGTATCTTTTGAAACTTTTCAAAGCTTTATCAAGATGTTTTTCTGTCTGTTTACATTTTCGCCGACAGTCTTTATTATAATTACTAATATTCACTAGTGTAAGTACCATTAATAACCGAGATGGGTTGGGGGGTCACATTAATAACTAACTGTTTCGTCGTAGTTTGCGATTTTTGACTGATAAACAAACATCCATCACGTAAGTTGAAAATCAGTTTCAAACGACTTCAGCTCTTGTTAGAAAACTACGCTTATCTGTGGTGATTTATTCAAAATAATGTAGGAGTTAGAAACAAACAGTTGTATGGTTTCAATTGAATTATTAAAAAAATATTCTGTCATTGTACACATTTTGTTTACAATAAAATAGATATTATTTTTATTAAGCTTTCTGATATTTTATTGTTTTAAGTTTTCTTAAATTAACATTGTAACAAGCAAAGATGGATGGTGGCTAGCAGTGGAATTCAGGACGCGCGTTTTGTCCTCTTTGTGACTCGTCAGTTGGATGTAACTGCATCCCAGAGTTGGTGTTCATCCTGTGACTCGAACCCAGTACCGTTCGCTTCTGGGATGCAGGTACGTCCAACTGACGAGTCCGAAATAAAACGAAACGAGCTTCCTGGATTCCACTGCTAGACGCCATTCATCTTTGCTGATAATGCTTGCGACTTGAGGCAATATAGAGGCAATCCGCACAAGATGCACATATGCCAATAAGAGGCTTATCAATTGCGATCCTAAACATCAACGGAAAGATCCAAACAAACAATGCAAAATGAATTTGACATCGTGATACTCAACTAATAAATTTGACTTTGAAGCTTGTTGATCGATTTTACTTATTATGATTACCTAGTTGTAATCTGTAATGTTATAATTTGTAAACAGATTTCTATGCCATAATGTTTGATTGAAATATAATTAAAACAAAGGTATTTACTAGCATCTGTATGTCGACCCCAAGTTGCCATACTGCATTAACAGAGCGGAATGAAATTATCAAAACAAATACCAAAGTAGTAGAAGTAATAATAGTGTGAATAGAAGTAGAAAATATGGGTCATAGACAAAATGGTTCGAATATTGGAGAGTACAAGATAATATTAAAATTCGAGATATCTGTGTTATCGTGACTAATTCGGAACCAGTTAGAATCATTGTCTTTAGGAATCAGTTACGACAATTTCACAGACCCTAACCTGGCAATCTCCAAGTATCCGCATGACTTAGTCTAACAATTAATGAAGATTTGCCGATGCCACGCTTTGGTTTGGCGACTGTCTTCCTTCTTACAACCTACTCCTACACTGGGAAATATCACCCATCGAATTGACCGGCAGTTGGAGATTATGAATTACTTCAGTCGATGAAGACTCACAGTCCCATCAACTGATTTGTCATATTTACCTAGTATCTAACTTCAAATTCAACATCGTTGACTTGATGGTCCCAGCATAAGTAAAGAATACTTCGAAGGAGTCAACGACTAAATATTAGTAAACTATGAACACCATCTAACTTTACTGTGTTATGTATATAGCTATGCTATTTTTGGGAGTTCTACGTTGTTACTGACTGACTGAGGTGGTTCAGTCCCATGGCAACCTGTAAGCGACAATGGATTCACACGTCATTTCTTCCATCGGGATCCTGGAGCCCATGTGCACCATTGGTTTGAAATTAGGGTTTTCCAACTCCCCCAGGTGGATCCTCCATATCCATCAACCCTGTTAAAGTGCTGGACGCCCACTTTCTGTCCTTCCAGTTTCGTAAATAACCCTCCAACACAAGAAGGCTGTGATTAGGACTTCTGTAGAAGTTTCTGTATATGCATGGCCACGAGCGGGACAATGGGATCTCCCCACCCTCAGCCGTGCTAGGGCATTTGAGAACATGAGAAGTGATTTAGGTAAAGTTGAACTGTTTACCGCAAAACGTAGCTATATTTCATTGGCCAGAAACATAAGGTTTGTTATGTTGTGCTACATCTAGAATATGCCCGGCAATTATGGTTTTTATCTTACCAACCAAATATACTGATAGTTTTGTTTGATAGCCAGACTTTCTATACATAGTTTTATAATTAAATCATAAATTATAGTCTCGCTAAACTATCTATTACGATTTATGTAATAGGCCAGTCGTACTTACTAACACATAGGTTCCTTTTCTATGGAAAGAGACAAGCTGTTGGTGGAAAATGATACTTAAATTCCTAAGGGACGGATACACATACATGTTGTATTTATTCTGCTGGTCGACTGTCAGATTTGAATTGGATAGAATTTGAAATTGTGATATGTCCCGATAAGTACAATGAATGGTAACTTTTGGGAGCCATTTATGGACCAATACTATGCGTATATTTTTATCGTATAATTGTTAAATGACTAAACTATTCATATTCGTGTTCCTCTTATCATAAGCTTTATTTTGACCTGCGAACTATTATTATACGATTTACCACTCGTGAATTATGCCGTCTATTAATTACCACCTCCCACATTCGGCTAAATCTTGTACAAATGTTGTTTCCTATTTTAAGGTAGAATGTGGTCTGTTTGATTGGTATAAAAACGCAGTATGTTTGAAATGAATGATTCATATTGCAGAGGCTGATATTGGTGTTCTGAACCTAACTGGCTGGGCTAGGCAGTAGGCAGGACCGATAGGTACTCTAGACTGCTCGTAATTGTTCCATGCGTCATTGGTCCGATTGATAATCCACTGCTCTCTAATTGGCGATATCATTACGTATACAGGCCACAAGTTATAACAATTGTTTTTTTCCGAACGGTGAAGTCTATTCAGCCAGAATCACGAGCAATCACAACAGGCACAAATCAAAACGTATATTTATAGCACAAAACCGTCCGTGGTAAGTCTTACAAAATAGCATACTAAAAGACACAATGGACCAATAGCGTTTAAGATTCTCGCAAGTGGGAAATATGACATGAAGGTGAAAAGAGCGCTTTTGGCGCGAAAACAAATAATTCAAATTTTCAAAATTAGGACATTTCCAAGTGAATTCTGGGGATCTAACTTCTCCAACACATTGATTAATCAATGAATACACACATAAATAGATTAAACTGTTGTTTTCTTTGTAAATAGCTAATGTTAATTCACTTGGTATTGTTTTACTTGGATCTTCCCATTGATCAGTCTCTTATTGGCATATGTGCATACTGTCCGTATGCTTCGATATTGCCTTAATTTACGAGCATTATAAGCAAAGATGAATAGTGGCTAGCAGTGGAATCCAGGACGTTCTGTTTGGGATTTGTCACCTCAGTGTTGATGTTCACTCTGGGACTAATCTTAATTGAGTTATATATTTAATTCTCTTCATAAATATTTATAAAATAGTCATCTTATAAATAAAGTACTATAGATCTATTTAAAAATCACCTTGAAATGTGAATATTTTCATTTGACTAATAGTTACATTAAATGAGAAATGATTGGTGACAATTTTAATTTTGTTTAAATTGTAACTAACATTTACACATGACTATGATTCAGCATTTTTATTTAAGTCTGCTAAAATTAGAAAACAATATAAAGGTTAGTAACAGGTTTAGAAAAAAATGAATCATTATTATGTTTTTCTATTCAGATAAAAATAATAAGATATCAAGATGGGGTTTTGTAAAGATTTTAATAATTTCAATAATTGAAATTATGAGTCAATTGAAGTTAGACCACCGTGGAAAACCTGGAAGCATTGGACAGCTGTTTCATCCTAGTATGGGACTCTTCAGCAATTTCTTGGAATGGTTGAAGTTAGACATTAACACTGTTGGATGCCGGCTCAATGGTCTAATGGTTAAGCGCTCGCCCGCGAGACTGATAGGTCCCGGATTCGAATCTCGCAAGGGCGGGATTGTGGATGGGAACTGCTGAGTCCCATACTAGGCTGTTCAGTGCTTCCAGATTTTCCATGGTGGTCTAGCTTCAATCGATTCATGATTTTAAAAATAATGTAGAAAATTAATTGGTGAAATCAATTACTAGAGGTTAGGCGTTCGCATACGAGACTGAAGGTTTTGAGTTGAAATCCCATGAGCGGGATCATGAATGCGTACTACTGAAGTGTCATATTAGGGTGAACAGTGACAGAGTAACATTCGTTAATGTCTACCGAAGTAACGTAGATATGAAGTCTTATTTTGAAAGACTCGTTCCTTCTGTTTCTGCACTGCACAAGTTGCAAATCTTAGGTATCTACAAGAAATGAGCAAGGTTTACTTTTTAGTCTGAGTACGTTTTTGGTTGCTGCTTTTCGAACATTTTCCAAGAGAGAGATATCATTATTAAGGTAAAAGATTATGGTGCCAGTTTCTTCACAGAAGGGGTTTGAAGTAAACTCTGAAGATTTAAATAAATTTAGACTTAGGACACCTGTTTTAGAAAAAATCACAGGAAGATTCATATCTTTAGAGAATGATCATGGTAAGGTTACGTATTAATATGAGTTGAAGCTATGACAGATCTTAAGTGATGATCAATCACACTGAATGTTGACATAACCCAATAGGTAATCGTCTATGAAAACATCCTATTCGAATACTTTTCTTGGGTTGTGCTGGCGTCGATGTTATCTAGGAAAACAATGGAAACTATACTATTTTAAGCCATCCTGCTGAGTGAAAGATACAGTTGCATCAAGAACATTTGCGCAACATATTTGACTCAAATATAGAGTAAGTCACTAGAATTTACTAGAAAGCAGGTCTACTTAAATAAATGTTCATAAATTCATTTTTCCTTCAGTAAAGCATATCAAACTATGAAAAGGTTTATTGTACATTGGGAATTCTCTCTGTATACTAGAATAATACTATCTTATGAATGTACATTACTCGATATTACTGAGCGGCAAGTTTTTTGTGTTTGACATTTGCACCCTAATCATAACACTAAATATCGTCTATAGTTGATCCATCCTGTCATTGGTTAGTCTAAGATCATCAGAGTATTATATGTACTGTGATGTTGGATCATATCATTGTCTTTGCTTAAGATACAAAAGCACTTAGAGTCGTCGAACTGTTGAGAGGTAACAAGATTTGTAAAACATAATAGTGTAACTGTAACTTGTGATCTAATCACTTAGATCTATAGTTAGTGGTTACTACAGTTAATAAAAATACACGACGCTAGGTAAATTAGATAAGCGATATAGTAATTATTGCATGCGATTGGTCAACATTCGACTTCACTTCCCGAGGCAGATGTATACCATTGATTAGAAATCTGACCAAATGTATTGAGGGATACGTGTCTGTATTAATGAATTGTACATACATTATTTATTCGGTTAATCAATGAAGTTCTCTATTCACCTGGTTTGAGCACGCATATTGAAATAGTATATTATCAATAACATACTCTGACGACTGAAGTACGTAACACTTAAAGAAATTATACCAATACAAAAAATAGCCGTTACATATTAGTAATCGGAGAGATGAAAAGTTCTAGAATCACAGGAAGAAAACAAAAGAAGGAAGTAAGGTGAATTACACTTGAGAATCTATCCAATTTAGTTAGTGTCTAGGTCAATGTATTTAAGCTTGGTTAACTAATCCTATGATCATAGAGTCAATCAATCAAATCATTGAACCCTTCCGTAATCAGTTCATACAATAAAACTACACCTAGGTCACATTCAAAATATATCAGTCAGTGACATTCTAGTTAATTAAATTCACAATATGTTTATTACGTTTATCGTACATATCACCAATACTACTCATAGGGTGTATCCAAACATATTATAAGTATCTATGCAAACAAGCTAGCTCAATGTTAATATAATAGATAAGAAGTGTGAAAAATGAAGACAAATTATTGATTGAAGCTGTTCATGGAATTTGTCAAGGTTTAGCCAATATATCTAAAGTATAGAAAAATATATAAATATCAATGGGTAGTGAATATATTTATATTCCATATTATCATAGTTTTCTCATTCAATCTTCTGTATCTAATCAGACGAATGTAGAATGTGACAAGTTTCTTTTGAAAAAAAAAATAGAGAGAGAATTAATTATATTTAGGTTGTTTTAAGTAAGAAATTAATTCCGACAGTATTGCTGTTGTTGTTCATACATGGAATCAAATTACAATTAGATTATCATTAGAATATTGACACAATTATAATCCAGACCAAAATTAATTATTAATTTGTAGGATCTTTTATTTAACTAATGTTCTCTTTTCTGTTCTATTCAATAATCCAATCTTCTTTACACATTACATATACACCCATACCAACATACAACACACACACACAGACAAGATAAACATTTAAATGGTAGTAACTAAAACGTTTATCTTTAAATTTTAATCACAATAAGAGAGGGAGAGAGAGAGATAGAAAAAGGTAGATTGATAGAAAAAGCCAACAGAAGTGAAGAAAATTCTAGTATTAAGCTATAACAAATTATTTGTGTATATTAGCAACAGGTATACACACATATATATTTTATAGAAATAGGCTATTATTGATAATAATTTATAAATGTCTGTAAGAAAAGTAAAGAGAACATTGTGGAGTTGAAATCATTTCACCAGTTTAAACAAAAATTATATATATATATATATAACAACAGACTATGTTATTTATTATTGATGCTAAACATCATGCATCGAGTAGTATAAGAAAAAAATATATATTAGTAAATATCTATTTATCTAACTGGTTTTTCTTCTTCTTCTTCCAAGAACTAGAATCAATAAGTTAGTAGATTTAAACACCTTCAATGTATTTCATCTTGAATACTTTGAGTAGTAGTAGTAGAACGTCTTGAATGTTACAATAAGTATAACACATAAACCATTCAATACAATACAGTGGTGGTAGTAGTAGTAGTACAAGTACAATACAATGCATCATTTTCAAGTGAAAGGAATTTACACATAGAAAATGTAATTGAGTAGAGAAGAAAAAGGAAATTACACTGTTTTCATTTCTTTTTTAAGTGAAAAATGAAGCAGAGATTGATTATACACAAAAATTAGTACAAATATGAAGGTGTTCATTTTTTTTTATAAAAAAAAAAAGAAGCAGGGAATCATTATTATCATTACTTTTAAAAAAACTGGTCTTATTGAACATTGTAGAATAAACAAAACACGGGGCAGGTCATAATAATGGGAACAGAGAACAATTCAAACCGTAGATGATAAACGAACGCACTTGATAATAATGATTTAGAAAAAGATTATGAGGTGTTATTAATTAGCCCATTCAGCAAGTGCTCCAATATCGTCATCTTCAATTGCTTTCTTACCTAAATAAAGGAAGGAGAAAAGGAAATCCTCATATATATCGATTTTATATAGCCTGTGCTAACTTGTATGGCTGTGAAATAGGGTCTATGGAAGCAGAAGATACGTATAAATCGTAGGTTATTGATCGTAGACATCTTTGAAGCATTGCTTATATGTTGTGAAACAGTCGAGTAATACTGACGTAAGGTATAGGGTAAAAAGTAAAGATAGTATGTCGGTTGATGTTACAATGAACTCTCATCGAGTGGAATGATTAGAATATGTTACATATACCTGACCACCGCCTACTACAACGAGTAACATTAAGTAATATAGGAGTTAGTAGAAAGCGGTGATCGGCCAAACCAAGACGTCGTATCATTTCGACAAGTGACTGGCTGTGGGTCGAAGTCATGTCTACCTACCTACCTGATTGGGGTCGGTGTGATAAGTGAGATCAGAGGTTGGAGACGCTGGGTGATATAGCTTAGGACCATTCAAAACGAAGTAGATACTTTCGTTTTTATTTTCCTTTTACCCCTGTTGTTAAGGGAAGGTATATTAGACAATATGTTTACCATAAAATTCAGCCGATGAGTCACTAAAGTTATAAAAAATATAGTAAGTTTTCTACATAGTTCCCGTGAGACAGGGTCTTAAAAGTGGCCTTTTCTTTCGATAGTGCTACACATACTAAAACAAAATTGTTTTTGGGAAGTCTTACTGCTGTAGTACTGTACACTACGGTAACGTGAACGAAGTCTGCAACTGATTAGTCATTTCAATCTGAAGCTGTTTAATTGATTAAGTTACTGAATAATGGATTCACTTAGATGAAAGAACCTTTAACATTCACACTAACGCTAATTTAGCTTCAATATCAGAGATATTATTCACGTGATCTTCGAAGAGAAATCTACTTTGTGCACTCTTCCATACATGAAACATTCCCTAGTTATGTATATTTAAGCATAATAGTCAATATAAGTAGGGTTCATGAATTCACTCTTCTTAAAGATGTAATACATAGTGATAATGAACGCCTCATCTCCGACAAATATGCTATATTTTAAACTATTAAATAGACGGGAGAGTTATATTTAGAATATTTTTTTGGTACTTGAATCTTACCAGTAAACCTAGCAATTCAAATAATTTAATGTTATTTTTCACTAGTTCAGTACTGATATTAAAGTATTTATCATGAATTAGGAATCGCAAAACAACCATTCGATTTTATTCTGAGACCATCAAGTTGTAGACTAGCTTTCTCGATGAATTTACGGAATCCAATGAAATTATTCATCTTTAAATGAACTATTACTGGTAAAGTTAATTTATAGAGGCGATCCAATCAAGAAGAATAAGAGTGACCAAGCCGAGACGTGCAATCAGTCCATGAAGTTATTTTACGATCGAACTGATCCATGTAGGTAGATGCAGACTACCTAGTTGCAGTCCCCGCAGCTATTGAAACCAATGCTTAGGGACTTTGAGTAACAGAGCTTAGTTATTCGCAATAGCACAGCTGCATTCACTCGTTATCCACTCTCAGATCATGGATCCGGAAATCTCTCCACACCCTTTTCTTTATATGTAATCTTTTTCTACTATCACTGGAACTGTTACTATCTTTGTTATTCTGGGAATGCTTCGATAAATTCATCTCAGCATGCTAACAGTGTGTCGACTTGAATCAGTGAAAAATCGCATCAAGTTCTACGTTGCATAAAGCTGACTGAAGTTGCGTCCAGATCCTGAGACCAAAATCCTAACATTATATATTATTCATTCATTAGCTGTTTTCAGGTTAACTGGACAGATCGTATTTTTGACTGCTTCATCTTCATATTCTATTCAGCTCCCTAAAAGATCATCTTTTAAACGTTAACTTAAGTGCTGATTCGTCAAAATCTTCAAAGTATTTAAGTGTATAGCACGTTAATAAAAAAAGTGTAAAAACTCTTTCTGATAGCTTACTTGATGCACTTTTGGATGCTACAGGTATTGACAAATCAGAATCTGGGACAGTGGGCAATTGAGGTATCCGATTAATATCCAGCAATTTTTGTTCAACACCTTCAGCCTTTAAGTAAACAAAACACAAATTATTTGTAATAATGACTATGATGTAATTTAATAAAGTAATGAATTGTAACAAAAAACGATAGAAATAGGACTATAGATTACATGGTTTGACATCAGGTTTCAACTGTGCAGTTTATGTGAAGGCCAATGATACTTATCCAACTTTATAAATCGAGGCAGATGGAGAAATGTTTGAATTCACAATGGTTGAAAGTTGAGTGCTTTAATTTACTAAGCTATCTTCGCTGTAAAACCACATTCATAAAAAAAAAGATTTGTAGTTTAAAAATATTTAGTTACAGATGGAATAGAAGGTTGAGGAAGAGATAGGAGCAAGTCAACACAAAAACATGGTATTAATCTATGAATGTTGGTGTAGACCGTGTAGGTAGGTTCTGGTTGCTTAACTGGGGTCCATGTGGTTCTTGTAACCAATAATTAAAGACTGGGTAGCAAAACTCAGAATCGTTCGTAATAGTAGATAAGATGCATTTATTCCTTCTACCCTTTAAGATCCTAAGTTTTTCAATTAACTTATTCTACGAATCTATATTTTTTCTCGAACTGTTTCTTCTGTGCAACCTCCTTTATCCTTTTGGGATACAATATAAAATCTTATGAACAATAAATGCGTATTGTAAAATTACTCCTGCAAAACCATGATTGGTAATTTAATGATGTAAACGTTGATGTTTTATAGTTAGACTTCTTTTTATTCCCATATTTTCACTTACTCCAACCAATCATGCTTTTTTTTTTCTTTTATGACCTACATACTCAATGCCGATGATTGAACCTTGTAGAAAAAGTATCCTGAGTCAGCTCTACATTTCTCGAATAAAGAGATTTGGCTTTCTGACAGCACACTGCTCTGTCGTGTGTTCATCTATCAGGCCCGCAGTAGACTGAATTATTACTTAAGGAAATCAGCTACATTTCAATGTAGTTTTACTCCACTAGAGTCTGAGAACAGTGATCAATTCGTGTCGTTTTTTTTTCGCTTTCCAAATTTATTTCACTGAATTATACTCCTTGAACATCTTCAAACCCTAATGTTTCCGATTACTGCTCATACTCTTGTTACCTCTACCACTATGGGATTTGAATCGACAAGTCCATCTCTGTACTAATTTGGTTTGGAAACTCGAACTGATGTACGTACGTACGAAGTTCCACGTTATTACTGGCTGACTGACTTTTGCAAATACAAACCCAGAAGGAAGAAATCACGATTTTGAACCAAGATATATAGGTCGACGTTTTTTATTTCAGGGTTATGAGAAATGCAGGGTTAAATGAAATGAAGCTCATGCTTGAGAGAGAGGCATTCGTTACTACGAACTATCAATTTCGCTTCGAACATAAATAGTACTTGTAAAGCCAGCGACCACAATGTATGTCATTTCCTGAAATAAAGGCGTTGGAGAGTAGGAGATAGATCTTAACAGTGACTCCTTACAGATGTCTGAAGACAATCACCATTATATAAGTGCAAATTTCAAACATTGCGAAATTTTACAAGGTAATGTGTTAGGAGCTGATTTAATTAGACCAAGTTAAAATGAACGGAAATCGAGTGGCTAGTACGGACTGCTGGTCAGATTAAAACACAGTTAAACGTCAGATATTTTAGTTCGAGAAGGTCACGCCAAACTGGTGTCACTGAATGCATCCACTACCCGAAAATAAAAACAATAAAAAAGCCTAAGTACTGGTGTATTATTAAACCATATTGCCTTTTAAAGCAACATGTTTGACCATCACTTGACTGGATAAAATTCACTATTTCTTGGTAGTTTCAGACATTTTAACCTATAACTACATTGCTGCATTTCACTACGCCTATCGTTATGATGGAGTAGCTGCAAAAAGATGTGAACCTTTGCAAATAGTTATATTTGAACAATGGATAGAGGCATGAGTAAACCTAGTGTAATATTTATTTCTGCAAACATACAATGTCCTCGATAGCCATTAATACTTCACAAAACTTCAGCCTGTGTAATAACAGCTCCATAAGAGTTATCTGGTGAACGGAGTCTAAATGTAGTTTTTAGACAAGTGTGATATACTTGGGAATGAGAATGGAAGGTAGCACAAAAGTAATAATAGTAAAAACCAAATAATGAAATCAGTAGTGGACTACTTGATACTTCATAATGGCCACTTATCTACAGTTAGGTAATTGGATGGATATTGGATTTAATCCACAAAACTTCAAAATATAATCAAAGTGAATCACTGAAATATTTTGGAAAGTTGTAGCACCAGTTTGAAAAATAAGTTTTCAACACTTCTATTGTATGTATGAGAACCACTTTAATTGTCCACCAACCATTAAGTGAGACACACTGACCTTCCTTTATAAGAAGTTTCCAACACTAACACTAACCCGATGTTTACTAATAAGACTGAAAAACCATACGAATGTTAACACATAAGTACACCTGTCCTCGACTTAAGTAAAACGTATGTTGTTGTTTATTTAGAAGGTCAATCTACCAAACAGGGAATACAAAACATATAAACATAAAAATAAAACCAAATAATAAAAATCTAAGCCTTTAAATTAACAAGCCACACAGCAGTGAGTTACCTCAAGCTCTTCAAGTTCACGAAGAAGGTCATCTTCATCGTAGTCTGCATTTAGACCCATAGGGGTGGATATTACATTAGAGATTTCCTGGCATGTATCTCGTTGTTCTTGTATATCATCCATAATATTCTGCACATCATCAGCAGTCCTAAAAGCATTAAGATCATAACACACTAACAGTTACATGTTTTTGTGGACATTTTTTAGGGCGTTTGACCCATATCGCATGGCATTAAGAACCTCGACATTTGTTCCAGCATTTTCGAGAGCTTCGATATGACTATCAATTGTATTGAGAGTTCCATCAATCTGAGCTAATTGCTTCTCGTAATTACGCTTGCGAGCCAATGCCTGAAGTGCCACTAATAAATTAAATAATTCAGACCAATAAATCTTACTTCTTTTGTTTTTAAGACCGTATTTTTTGGCCAAAGCTATCTGCTCATCAACCTTTCCTTCCAGAAAGGTCGACTTCTTTGTAAGCATTTCATGTGTTTCTCTAAGCTTATGAATTGCCGTTTGAGTCTCTGGTTTATCATTCTTCTTAGACTTGAAAAATTTCGATAAGGAACTCATCTCAAGGTTAGGCTGACCCGCCTTGTCACCAAAGTCTGTACAGTTTCAAGGTCGCATGAAGTCCAATATATTGGTGTTCAGCATCTTGTATAGTTCCTTGAAGACACCGTGTGTGGCATGGCCAACCGCTCAGTAAAACGTGTCGTAGTGGATTCGCCTTGTATTCGAATAGTAATATTAGATGTTAGGTCTAAGCATTTTTTTAAAAATTAAGGTAACCTGATTCACAGTCACAAGTGGTCAATAACCAAGAAAGGACTTAGGTTGATATTACAATCACTATATTGCCACACCTTACAAGGCTCAAATAAAAGAGTCCAGAAAAAGGGTTTTGGAAAGTAACGCTTAAACCATAACAAGGTGAATTATCTAACCCCTGCTACCCAAAAGTAAAAACACTTTGAAACACACATGTCGTAAGATGACAACGCTTTCAGAATTTTCTGAAGGAGATGGGAATCATCCACTGTTGTCCGTTTGAATATTCGTGTAGTTGATCACTGGAATCAAATAAGTATCTGTAACCACAAAATACGAAAAAGTGCTAGTGAGTGTGTTTGTCGCTTGTTCATTCAGTGAAGGGAATGAAGAAATCGAGTCTTTGAGTATAAATTTGTATGTTCGGTGAAACGACAGTGAATTTGAGTCAAGTCATTTGATATGTTGGATGTATCCTTACGTCGAAAGACTTATCACTAAACGTTGAATAGTTGCAGACGATCAATTCAGATCATAACCCTACGTTGACCTCACTGAAAATGTCATTTTCGTTTGTAATTTCTTACGTATTACTCTAGCTAATGTTATTGGAACAACGGTGGTATTAAAAATGAATGGAAAAGCTTAAGTTTCAAGTACTCGAACATGAGCGGACAACCATTAAAGTGGATGGAAACGGCTTCATCCTGTTAAGTTATTTTCAGTGTGGCTCATTTTTGCAGCTAAAACATGTAAGGGCGATGTGGAGAGGATGGAAATAGTTCCTTCACCACATTGAAGAGCTGGCATTTTTTTGAGGTATGAAATCAGTAGCTTGTTTGAAATACGGCCAGATGTTATTTTGTTCAGAGTATGTCTCCACTATTGCGAATAACTGACTCATAACCTCAAAACCTAGGCTTCTGCAGAAAGAATTTCGTGAAATATGAATTCAACGTCCTATGAATAACAGGCACCTGTATTTTGAACATTTGTATTGGTTAGGTTTCAAGAGAAATTTACAAAAGCTGATTGTCAGAGCCAGCTTTCAGTTGGACCTGAATAGTCACTGTAGTTTATTACTTCACATGACCTTACGCGCTGCAATGGATTCTTCATCAGGTACATCTGCTGTCATGACAACAAACTTTAAAGAGTAGTATAACATCAGTGACCGGTAATGACTCTAACTTCGCCGCACAGTTACTACTTGGTTGATTGTTATAAGGTACAAACATCCATTTACTGCTTCTAAACATCTTTGTTTTATTGTTCAAGTGGAAAATTTCATTGAGAAGTTGAAAACTTCTATTGATTTCATTGTGACTTCAAAATTCGATGAGCTAGAGGGGATAGTGGACACATTCCTGGTGAGATGTGGAAAGGTCAAAAATTTTGTAATGAAACAAACCCCATCAAATTATTAAAAGGAAGATTTGTAGAATTGTGTTCTACTACAGATTCTCTGTTTTAATATAGAGTGTTTAGAAATTTTAGGAGCTACGTAACACCGTATGATATATATGAGGAATCTGGATTTTAGTTTCAGGTGTATCGGATATGGTATTAATACCAATCGATGATTCATTTCGTACATGATTCCATCGCTTTTATGAATTCCATATGCATTACTTTCTATTGTTTTCTCAGAGTTTTCTCTACTTGAATATTAGCCCATATACGACTACAAAAGTATGGATCAGGCAGTTCTAAGTACTAGTAGTTAGTATACAAAGTTTGATTACTTCTGATTATCATAAATATTTAAAAACAGCGGGTTAATGGTGAAAAGAATATGCAATAATTAAATGACAATTAGTAGACAGGCTTTTAACAATCCTAGAGGAATGTACTGTTAAAAGACAACAAAATATCTTCAAATCAAGCAACCGTTTATTGAAAATAATAAACCTTCCTAACAATCAGTAGATCAATTATCCAATCCACCAGTGGTAAATTTAATCAGATGAATCCTATGGAATTAACTTGAAGGACGATCGCCTACAATGACAACCTCCGGCATTCAAAATGCCAAGTTATATAAGGGTGAAACAGTAGTCAAAACTACAACAACATTCAAGAATTGACTACACTTCGTAAGTTGCAAACCATATGGTAATAATTAAAAATAAATCAAAAGAGAAACAGAATATGCCCAAATGCAACCAATAATAGAATAGACAAAATATATAAAGGAACAATACAGGAATAATGTGATAATTAGGAGTATTTGTATTTTAATACAAACTAGGAATCCCAGAAATAACGCAAGTGGATCAGGAAGTACTAGATAAGCACGAACGAATGTACTGTATTTGGAATTCGAAATCAAGCATTCAACAAGTACAAAAAAATCATTAGTTAATTCAAACACCACATCCGCCACAGCTTAAATTGGAGTCCAAGTTCCTGTAATCGATTCACGTCTTCTCCTTATGTTCATCCAATATCTGTTTGACGGTGTATTGGATGTAGACTCTATATGATCTAGGATGTCCTTAATATTATTATGATTAACGAATTCCACTTAAACGGACTCATCTGGGTCCTGGAATTCCATACAATCACCATGTCGGCTGTGTACTAAAAACATTGATATATAGAATTTGAGTCACAGATTTTCCAACACTATTTCCCCACGAAATAATGTTGGATTTTCATAACCCCAAGTTATGAATGATGTGTCTTCATTTAAAACATATTTCGCACATTGACTAGAGTATTCTTTAGAGGTGACTTTACGATAAGGATGAAAAACAGTCGATATGAAATCGTCCGAATTGTAATCAAAATCGAGCTCATATACTACTCGTGCTTCGCATTCAACGAGGGTCTCAGAGAAAGCAAATGCATTATGAGGATAGGTAATATATGATATGATAACAAGATTTGATTCTTCTGTAATATGTTCCTCAAATTTGTTAAGAATTTCATCAAAGGATAATGGATAATCAAAAAAATCAGCATTTCTCAAAAATGCATCAGGTTTTCGATCATGATTAGATTTACCCAACATATTTTCCTCATATTTATAGAAAATTTCATCAGAAATATGTGAATCATTAGATCAAACCATATCTGGTACAATAACATGAGAGATCTGATAAGAAATCGGTTGATTAGAAACTTGTGTCTCACAATGGATCTGTGTTTCAATTAACTCTAGACTGCTATGTGATTTTATACCGCCTTTCAAAGTCGTTGATAAAGATTGAAGATGGCACAGATATTCAGTGTTTGACAAAGCTTTTACCAGCAACACCTAATATAATTTGTACCCACCAAGAGAAATCAAAAGACAGAGTCGAGGAGATCGGAAGAGTGTATTTGACGATAACCAATATATCGGAATTCTCTGATCCAATCTGGCTAGCAATTGCGGTAGATGTTGAGCAGAGCGTTACCACACGTGATCTGGTGCGGATGCATGACCGAGTGCCTTCAGCTAGATGAGTCCACTAAAACATATGGTCAGCATCCAGTGTCGAGAACTTACGGAGCTATTTAGTTTGGGGACTTATTTACCGCTACAGATCACTCCCACCCCTAGTGGGGCAGTGATGACCCTAAGACGTGGTCAGTCAGAAGTTTAAACCCATCGAGTCTGTCGTTGGTAAACACTCTTCTGATGGCTTACTAAGTTTATAAGCGTCTGGTCGTCTTTCCTTACTATATGGGACCGAGGTACAACATAGTAAAAAAAGGAAAATTAAAATGAACATTTCGGCTCCTCGTAAACTGCATCGTTGATTCATCTTGTGTTATAATTATTCAAAATTCATATGATATCATACATGAAAATATGGTGTTTAGTATTGACATGTTCAAATCGTATCCCGGTATACTCATTCTGGAATATAAAATTTAACTGCTAAATAGAATGATTTAATTCTATTGGCAAACATTTGCTTAGTCGTGTGATCAGTTATATCACTTCATTAGTGAATCATTTTAATCTACCTTTGTTTGGATGCATTTCTATCCATTTATCTATTAATCATATTTCAGATTGATAATGACCTGGAATTGTTTGTGACTTGTTATATTGATTGACACTTAGAACAATTTAGATTCATTCCAATACAATACAAATTAAACTATTTAAATATAATCTCGGGTAGATTTCTATTTTAATACAATTCCTGGTGATTTTAGTACCAGTGTCGATATAATTTCGATTAGATTACAAAGAGATCGAATTCTGATGTTCGTTCGAAAATTATTATTATTATTTCAGTTTAATTGTGTGCAAATAAATTCTGTTTAAGACTACCATGTATCCCAATCACTCCAATTGCTTAAATATACATTCAACAACATGTTTTCCAAGTTCTTACTTAATCCATTCGTCCTTGGTCATTAACTTGAAAATAACGTGAGTAACACAAATGCAAGCCGTGATCAGTGGAGCTAATCCATGACGGGTTGAGACAGGTATCTTCCTCAGTACAATGGAAGTTGGTCGCGCAATTTTGTGGATTGGTTGATGTTAGACACTATCATCGTTGGATGCCGGCTCAGTAGTCCAGTAGGTTAAGCCGTTCGCGCGCGAGACTGAAGGCCCTGGGTCGTGAACGCGCACTGCTGTGGAGTCCCACAATAGGACGAAGGGACCGTCCAGTGCTTCCAGGTTTCCAAAGGTGATCTAACATCAATCGGTTCATGATCTCAATCAAAAATCTAATAATCTCCACAACCTCTATACTAGAAATTTTAATATTTACAATAACAAGATCATTTATGCTAAAAAACTGAATAACAGGTACATAATTAATTAACTACACTTCATGAGTGGTAAAAGA